TCCAAATCCCTGCGCCCGAAATGAGCCCAAGACATGTTACCAAACACGGTAGTAAAAGCTGCAAACATCCGAATGGCACGGGCGCGAGGATAGACCGCAGGCTGGCTAGACTTAATAACCCTGCGGTCAACCAGGGAGACCCGAGCCCTGGAACAGGGAACGACGGAAACTAGATCAACCTAAAGCGCATCTCCAGCGGTTGGAAATTACCCAACACTAATACATCATTTTTGTATAATAATACATCATTACTGTATTAACCACAGTAATTACTAATCTTACTAATTTGTAGAATTAATCCAATGTTTCTATTGTGGCGCTGTATTTTCCAAAATCCTTCCTACAGTCTCCGTGACGCCGGGAGATCGCAGCATGTTGAAACATGAAATTCTCTCCACATTTAGTTGAATCTAAACAGAGTCCAGTTAATTACTTACCTTTATTAGAGATAATCGTTTATTTAGTTGTTTTATTTATATTGCATATTATTGCTTACTGAACTCATTCATTTAGATGAATTAACAACTACAGTGGAAAATATTCTAATGTAAAACAATTCAATATAATATTCCTTCCTCTCATATAATGCCGTCTTAATAAGCTGACTTGCATTGTGCAGAAATATATTGAACCTTAAAAACTTTTATCAGTGACACGAACACTTGGTACTATTCCTTACTTCCCTAATTAACACTTTCGCCCGGGCATGACGCAGCATTGCGTCATCCGTTTACTGTCGGTAATGCCGGGGATGACGCAGCATTGCGTCATCCACTTTAAATAATCCCCAAAAATCAGGTTTTTATCCGATTTTTTGGGGACGGGTTTTAAAATGCGCGCCGATGTTTTCCCATTTTCTTTGTTGAGCCTCGTGGCCCTCAGGCGGCTTGGCACACGCCGTGGGCCCATTGTTTTCGCTCCACTGTTGTGACCAATGTCGCCTCCCCTCGCATCTCAAACGTGTGAACATTTCGGCTATTTTCTGTGGCTATATTTCTTACTGCGGCTTTAGAAACTATCTACGCTTACTCCACGATGGATAGTGATTATGAACAAGGCCCTTCCAGGAAGAAAATTGCAAAAGAAAGGCTTGAAAAGGGCGGGAATTGGGAGTGTAGCTGGAAGGTGTCTGAGCGCTCACTTGCGGCTAACGCGTGGCCCGTCTTCAACTCGTCGGCGGTTGGAGCGTGACCAGGTTTTTTATTTTATATGCTAATGTTCCTATAGAGAATTCTATTGCGAACCCATTGAGACCAAAATGAAAGACCTAGGACGAAAATTGAGGTGACCAGAGTGAAAATAGTGAAAACATTTTATCGCGTTTGCGCGCTCCTGGGTAACTCGTTCGCACTTTCTCTGTTTGCTGCGGGTAATTAGCCAGGCTTTTGGAGTTTATATGCATTTAGTGCTGTAGAGAATTCTATTACAAACACAATGATACAAAATTTAATCTCGTAGGACGAGAATTAAGGTGACAAAGTTGAAGAGAGTATACACTTTTCAGAATTTACGCGCGCTCCCGTGACACCCTGGGTCCCATATCGCACAGTTGAGGGGTGGCGCGCGGGGTACGCCAAAGTGTTAATTACAAGTAAAATAATTTACGCTCGAGAATACTTTGAGCAGTCTGCGCATGCGTATCACAGCCAGGAAAGAAGGAGATGCCATTCTTACTGAAGAGCGTCGCTAGCCACCGTGCGAATCGGACGCCATTCTTACTGAAGAGTGTTGCTAGCCACCAAGCGATTCGGACGCCATAAGCAATGTGCAACAGAGAGCAACGTCTCGATCTTGCTTAAGGGTATTCAAGTTCGCTCCTACAACCATGAGAGCGGTGTCACGTTGTGTCAGCACATAGCGGCAGTGTCCAGGAACTTCTCTAGCCCATAGTTGACGTCTTATCACGGCAGTTGAAGATGAGGGATCTGGAACCGTTCCTTCATCAATGGACACTTGGCCCGGCAACTATAATTATTCTATTTGTTTTACTGTGCGCACATATAACATTTAGATAGTTGTCGTTAGGGTGAGAAATTAACATCAAAATCCAGTACTTGTACTCTCTAGCCGTATTCCGTAATTTATATAGGAATACATATTGCCATGATTACATTGAGGTGCTTCCAAGGCTTAGCATCCCTGCGGCCCGGTCGTCGACCAGGCCTCCTGGTTGCTGGACTGATCAACCAGGCTGTTGGACGCGGCTGCTCACAGCCTGACGTATGAGTCACAGTCTGGTTGATCAGGTATCAGCCTGGTTGATTAGGTATCAGGTTGATAGCTGTAGAAGATTTCTGCGGTGATAGATATATTCTTTAGGAAGAATTCCGTATATAGGATGTACCTGTAGTTACTTAAGTGGAAGATTTCTACAATGTAATTACTTTCCAGCCCCCGGGTCCACGTCAAGCGAGGTGCTAAGCTTCCCCACCTTCACGGGCAACAATTTGTCCGACGCAATACGTCGTCAGTGGAGTGTGGCAACCGATTTCATCTCTCTCAATTTACAGCTAAGCTGTTACTCTTATTTGAATTAGACAACTAGGGGAGGGGCGAGGAGGTGCGAACTGAACCAGGATCAAAGCAACCCCAACCCCCCAAGTCCGGGTCTCAAAAAGCAAAGTGGGGCAGTCCCAGGGCATTCGGGTGAGTAACCAACCGAGCACGCTACAACAGATGAAACCTAGCTTGCAACGCACGCGCCGCCTGTACCTGAATAGAATCATCAGAGGATTGGGTAAATTGAGTCACAAGCAAGCAGCAACACTCACAGGACTCAGGGTTGAAAGTATCACCGACCAAACAGGCAGCGTGGGGGAGGCAAAAACAATGAGGGTCACCCTGAGACAAGGGGACCGAGCAACCCTCAAACTCGCACAAAGCAAGCGGGGACTCCGGGGACACATCCTTTGGGCCCAAGCGCCCCCTAGGGGATTCCCAGGCTCCTGAGCATTTACTTTAAGAGGACTCGCGCTCAGATAATCCCAGGCAGGGTGCAGCTAACCGGCGCCAAAAACTACCAAGCAAACCTCTATAGCTGAACCCCAGGGATGTGTACACTCACGGGGACCTAGCAGGGGGCTCCACAGAGGAGAACCGTAGAAGGGCAAACACCCGTGGAATAATAGGGCAGAACCCCACAACAAGACAAAAAGAAAAAGAAAAACAAAACCCCGCAAGAGGACAGCGAACCCCAAGGAACAGAGCCGGCCGCGATGTCGGGAATACAAGCTGTGCAGCACCCTGCGCCCCTACCAGTGCAAACTGCCTTTTACCCGCAGGTACCAAGGGAGAACAGAACACCGAAGAGCCCAACAGGCGGCTGAAAAACTGAACGGTAGAACGGACCAGCAGAGGCAGGTCCCGAGGAGCCTGTGGAAGGTGGCCCCAAGCCCCAAGGGCAGTACTTACAGGGTACCTAGGGAAGGCAGCCCTAGGCGCATGCAGCCCGAGTACTGAAGATAACTCCTGGCTCTCGCACCCACAAAACCAACACCACACGCAAAGCACAGTGCTGTAGCGACACCGGAGCCAGAGCACACGACCATCGCCTATAGCATCAGCCTCAAGAACTGAGGTGTGGGTAGCCGGCGTGAAGGGTCTGGGGCTCCCCCTTCCCTCTCCCGGGGAGGTGAGAGCTGCGCAGACAGCGGCATGGCGACGTGTGACGTCATACTAGTTTGCTCACTTTCTGTTGGGGAGTTCTATCCACTAGTTCGGCTTTTGGTAGCAATTTTAACCAGAATAGGGGTTTGTTTTGGGGCGCTTACCTTTCTGGGTGCCTGTTCCGGTCGATGGCAGACATAGAATGCTTCCATCCACATGGGGTTTTTTATAGGCCATTGCTCCCCTTGCCTCTCTGAGGGGGCCAGGTTCTGGCCGTGGTCCCCAGTAGGCCTAAGAACTCCACACACACATGGCTTATGCCAAAGTCTGATATTAGCATATCAGCCTGGGATATCTCCAAGGAGCCGACGGGGCTTCCCCCAGAAAATAATAAAAACTAAATGGGTAGAACACCTGGAAAGAAATTATATAATATCAGACAGACAATATGGTTTTCGATCTGGAAGATCCTGTGTAACGAATTTACTCAGTTTCCATGATCGAGCCACAGAGATTTTACAGGAAAGAGATGGTTGGGTTGACTGCATCTATCTAGACCTAAAAAATGTCATGTTATGGAATGTGGAATAGGAGAACATAGACCCCACACAACCTATAAATTATGTGAGAAATCTTTAAAGAATTCTGATAAAGAAAGAGATCTAGGGGTGGTCCTAGATAGAAAACTGTCACCCGAGGACCACATAAAGAATATTGTGCGAGGAGCCTATGCCACGCTTTTTAACTTCAGAATTGCTTTTAAATACATGGATGGCGAAATACTAAAGAAAGTGTTCACAACTTTTGTTAGGGCAAAGCTAGAATATACAGCAGTTGTGTGGTGCCCATATCTTAAGAAGCACATCAACAAACTGGAAAAGGTGCAAAGACATGCTACTAAGCGGCTCCTAGAACTGAAGGACAAGAGCTATGAGGAGAGGTTAGAGGCATTAAATATGCCAAAACTAGAAGACAGAAGAAAAAGAGATGATATGATCACTACGTACAAAATAATAACAGGAATTGATAAAATTGATAGGGAAGATTTCCTGAGACCTGGAACTTTAAGAACAAGAGGTCATAGACTGAAACTAACTAAACACAGATGGCGAAGAAATATAAGAAAATTCACTTTTGCAAACAGAGTGGTAAACAGTTGGAACAAGTTAGGTGAGAAGGTGGTGGAGGCCAAGACCGTCAGTAGTTTCAAAGCGTTATATGACAAAGAGTGCTAGGAAGACGGGACACCACGAGCGTAGCTCTCATCCTGTAACTACACTTAGGTAATTACACAAGGGGGGGGCCCCAGGAACACACACACACACACAAGGGGGGGCCCCAGGAACACACACACACAAGGGGGGGCCCTAAGAACACACACACACACAAGGGGGGGCCCCAGGAACCCACACACCAACACACACTGCTACGAGGAGAGGTTGGAAGCATTAAACATGCCAAAACTAGAAGACAGAAGAAAAAGAGGTGATATGATCACTACATACAAAATAGTAACAGGAATTGATAAAATCGACAGGGAAGACTTCCTGAGACCTGGAATTTCAAGAACAAGAGGTCATAGATTTAAACTAGCTAAACACAGATGCCGAAGAAATATAAGAAAATTCACCTTCGCAAATAGAGTGGTAGACGGTTGGAACAAGTTAAGTGAGAAGGTGGTGGAGGCCAAGACCGTCAGTAGTTTCAAAGCGTTATATGACAAAGAGTGCTGGGAAGACGGGACACCACGAGCGTAGCTCTCATCCTGTAACTACACCTAGGTAATTACACTTAGGTAATTACACACAAAAGGGAGCCAACACCACTCACCCACAGCCAAGGTGTGATCATTGAACGGGTCGAAGGCAAAGTCCATAACATTGGCAGTGTTGAGGAGGGAGGGGACGACGCCGTCGGGTTGACGGCCGGCCTTACTGTGCTTCAGCACGGACAGCTTCCCTCCCGGACCACTCAGGGGCAGCACCACAAACTCTGAGTTCGCTGCAAATATAACCCAGATACACACACATTATATTCCATTATAGGTAACACTAGTACAAAAGCCTATTGATCGGTGTCTAGAAATGAGCTCCCCCATTCTACTTGGTACTGCAAGTAACACAAGTATTAATATATGATTATTCAGGTAAAAGTACAATACATACATACAAGATGAATTATAAACAGAATGTTGGATTTGTAGATAGAGCTAGTGTATACTACACGTATACCTAAAGCCACTAATATGCTCAGTGTTTCCGGTGAGCACAGGTGTTGTGCAGATGTGACGTGTGTGTGTGTGTGTGTAACACTGCCTTGTAATTCACATTTAAAGAATGATACACGATGACTAAAAAATATTGCTCGTGCGTCAAAAATTATGCCATGAGAGAAGAGAATGATATTTCATATGAATGATACTTTATCATCCATACAAAATTCAGACTGGATTGGGGACCCAGCCATAAAGGAATGAGATTTGCCGACAATAATGAAACTCTAACCTTACAGGCAGGAGTAAACAGTGGTTCAAAAAGTACAGGTGGAGTTGCACACAAGGTGATTATCATAATGTAGATAACAGATACATTCCTCAAGAGCGTTATATCAAGGAATATGGCTGAGTCAAGGCCTTGAGCCTCTAGTTGGCAAGCCAAGTGTTACTCATGTCAGTCTGACTTAGGCAGTGGATGAATAGTTATGACTCATGTGTTGGCTTCAGTAAAGTTATGTCCAATGTGTTTAACAATTTGTGCGTTGTTTAATCTCAGTGGTAATCAGATTCAGATGATTCAGATGTTTATTCAGGTAAGGTATATACATTCAAGTGATGTTACATTAAAGGATTGATATATAGATAGAGCTAGTACATACAATGCCTAAAGCCACTATTACGCAATGCGTTTCGGGCAAATCTTATTTGGTTTATAATTTGGTGTGTGATGGTAATAAATACTTCCAAATATTATGTTTGAGAAATATATGCATGCAACCCTAGGGCAAGCTGATGATAGTGTAGGGACAATGACCGGTACAATGCATGATACCGGCACCTCAAGAGATAGAGCAACGAATGCACTCAAGAGCTCTCAGAAACCTACTCGGATAACTCTTCGTCGAATTCACTCAAAACTCACCTGCCATCCCGTCGCATTCTCCCGGAGTTGTCCGACTAAGGTCCCTCAGATTCTCAATGCACGTACTCTTGTGTCCGGGAGTTCCTTTCAAATGACGGAATTTGCAAACGCGTCCTACAGGATCAACATAAACAAAAAATTCATTACCTATAAAAAATATATTCGAATTATGCAGTCCAACTTTATAAATGGCTAAATTATTTTCAGGGTATGTGTCGTGTCGGCAAACAATACGTGGTCAAATGTTCCATATTACACAATATCATTTGTCTCATTTACAGTATTTACACAAAATCCATATTCACCTTCTCTTGTACATCATTCACTATCATTTATGGCTCAATTACCTGTATACATGCAGAATTTATTTGCAATCATTCCTCATTTACTGTCACTCATTTCTCATTCTTTTCATTAATCTCTCATTATTTTCACACATTTTATTTCCTTTCATAATTGCCCATTCTGTTTCAAGTATTCTTCACAGTAAGTGAGAGAGGTGGTGGGCAGAAACTTACCTAACAATGCTTACCTAACAGTGACTACATCAACTCAGCAAGACACAATATTACTCTTTAAATGATTAAGTTTAATCAGTCTAAGGACTCAGTGTGGGAATGCAGAAAATTCAAATGAGCACTGAACACTAGCTACCATATTCACATAATTTCTTACTAACCTATGAAACATTAAATGCTACTAAATAATGGGATATCCCTGTACACAATAAAAAGACTACTATACACACTGTCAAGTAAGATACTCAAATAATGAATATGAAAAAAGAATCCAAATAACGGTTTGCTGTACGGCAGCAACTACTGCTGTGAGTCCTGCTACTAACTGCTGTGAGTCCTGCTACTAACTGCTGTGAGTCCTGCTACTAACTGCTGTGAGTTCTGCTACTAACTGCTGTGAGTCCTGCTACTAACTGCTGTGAGTTCTGCTACTAACTGCTGTGAGTCCTGCTACTAACTGCTGTGAGTTCTGCTACTAACTGCTGTGAGTCCTGCTACTAACTGCTGTGAGTCCTGCTACTAACTGCTGTGAGTCCTGCTACTAACTGCTGAGAGTCCTGCTACTAACTGCTGAGAGTTCTGCTACTAACTGCTGAGAGTCCTGCTACTAACTGCTGTGAGTTCTGCTACTAACTGCTGAGAGTCCTGCTACTAACTGCTGTGAGTTCTGCTACTAACTGCTGAGAGTCCTGCTACTAACTGCTGTGAGTTCTGCTACTAACTGCTGAGAGTCCTGCTACTAACTGCTGTGAGTCCTGCTACTAACTGCTGTGAGTTCTGCTACTAACTGCTGTGAGTCCTGCTACTAACTGCTGTGAGTCCTGCTACTAACTGCTGTGAGTTCTGCTACTAACTGCTGTGAGTCCTGCTACTAACTGCTGTGAGTCCTGCTACTAACTGCTGAGAGTCCTGCTACTAACTGCTGAGAGTCCTGCTACTAACTGCGGTGAGTTCTGCTACTAACTGCTGAGAGTCCTGCTACTAACTGCTGAGAGTTCTGCTACTAACTGCTGAGAGTCCTGCTACTAACTGCTGTGAGTTCTGCTACTAACTGCTGTGAGTTCTGCTACTAACTGCTGAGAGTCCTGCTACTAACTGCTGTGAGTTCTGCTACTAACTGCTGAGAGTCCTGCTACTAACTGCTGAGAGTCCTGCTACTAACTGCTGTGAGTTCTGCTACTAACTGCTGTGAGTTCTGCTACTAACTGCTGAGAGTCCTGCTACTAACTGCTGTGAGTTCTGCTACTAACTGCTGAGAGTCCTGCTACTAACTGCTGAGAGTCCTGCTACTAACTGCTGAGAGTCCTGCTACTAACTGCTGAGAGTCCTGCTACTAACTGCTGTGAGTCCTGCTACTAACTGCTGTGAGTTCTGCTACTAACTGCTGTGAGTCCTGCTACTAACTGCTGTGAGTCCTGCTACTAACTGCTGAGAGTCCTGCTACTAACTGCTGAGAGTCCTGCTACTAACTGCTGAGAGTTCTGCTACTAACTGCTGAGAGTCCTGCTACTAACTGCTGTGAGTTCTGCTACTAACTGCTGTGAGTCCTGCTACTAACTGCTGTGAGTTCTGCTACTAACTGCTGTGAGTCCTGCTACTAACTGCTGTGAGTCCTGCTACTAACTGCTGAGAGTCCTGCTACTAACTGCTGAGAGTCCTGCTACTAACTGCTGAGAGTCCTGCTACTAACTGCTGAGAGTTCTGCTACTAACTGCTGAGAGTCCTGCTACTAACTGCTGTGAGTTCTGCTACTAACTGCTGTGAGTCCTGCTACTAACTGCTGAGAGTCCTGCTACTAACTGCTGAGAGTCCTGCTACTAACTGCTGAGAGTCCTGCTACTAACTGCTGAGAGTTCTGCTACTAACTGCTGAGAGTTCTGCTACTAACTGCCAACTTACGAAAAGATCGAGTCACGGTCGCCCTCCTTGGGGTCGGAGAAGCAGGCTTCTCGTCCACTGTGGCCATCCGTTGCTCAAACGTTCTTCTCCTCTCCGCTGCGATGACACGACTGCCATCGTGCAGCGTTACCGGTTCCTGCAACACGCACATTTTTACTAATGATTTACTGACATAAATACAGTACAGAACTTAGAATTAATCAGCAGTAATTTGTTTTGGAATTCCTACCTTCCTGGGTGCCTGACTTGGAAAAGACTTCTTCCAATTACACGGGGGAGTCTTTAGGCCATTGCTCCTCGTGCCTCTCTTAAGGGGGCCAGGTTCTATCTCTGGAAGGCTTAAAACTCCTTCAATTGACTGTTGCCACGGTCTAATATATACACATCAGCCCGGTACTGCTCCCGGGAGCCGAAGGGGCTCTCCACAGAAAAAGTTTGGTTGATATCGAAAAACATTTTTAAATAGTTTAATACGCCCCTTTAAATACTGAACAATTTGGAAGATGTTGATTCGGAAAATTTCTTCAGGTCAGATGTAACACAAACAATAAGCAACAGTGTTGAGCTCAACAAGCCACAATGTAGGACTGAGAACAGGAGATGCTCTTTCACGGACAAGGTTATTACCCCATGGAACTACCTACCTGCCAAAGCTGTAAATGCCAAAACTCTGTTAACCCTCAAAGTACAGCTAGAAAAGATCATCAAGGCAAATGGGGGGTACCTTCGACAAGCCGCCAGCTTCCTGTCCTCATCGACGCTACTAGTGTTAGTGGCTCTCAGGTAAACAGGTAAAATATACAAGAAGCACAAAACACTATTCGCATAGCTCTCTACCCATAACAATGAATGGGTAATAACAGCCCACACCCTGAATGATCTCCTGCCTCTCTCTCTCTCTACCCATAACAATGGGTAATAACAGCCCACACCCTGAATGATCTCCTGCCTCTCTCTCTCTACCCATAACAATGGGTAATAACAGCCCACACCCTGAATGATCTCCTGCCTCTCTCTCTCTCTACCCATAACAATGGGTAATAACAGCCCACACCCTGAATGATCTCCTGCCTCTCTCTCTCTACCCATAACAATGGGTAATAACAGCCCACACCCTGAATGATCTCCTGCCTCTCTCTCTCTCTCTCTACCCATAACAATGGGTAATAACAGCCCACACCCTGAATGATCTCCTGCCTCTCTCTCTCTCTACCCATAACAATGAATGGGTAATAACAGCCCACACCCTGAATGATCTCCAGCCTCTCTCTCTCTCTACCCATAACAATGGGTAATAACAGCACACACCCTGAATGATCTCCTGCCTCTCTCTCTCTACCCATAACAATGGGTAATAACAGCCCACACCCTAAATGATCTCCTGCCTCTCTCTCTCTCTACCCATAACAATGGGTAATAACAGCCCACACCCTGAATGATCTCCTGCCTCTCTCTCTCTACCCATAACAATGGGTAATAACAGCCCACACCCTGAATGATCTCCTGCCTCTCTCTCTCTCTCTCTACCCATAACAATGGGTAATAACAGCCCACACCCTGAATGATCTCCTGCCTCTCTCTCTCTCTACCCATAACAATGAATGGGTAATAACAGCCCACACCCTGAATGATCTCCAGCCTCTCTCTCTCTACCCATAACAATGGGTAATAACAGCACACACCCTGAATGATCTCCTGCCTCTCTCTCTCTACCCATAACAATGGGTAATAACAGCCCACACCCTGAATGATCTCCTGCCTCTCTCTCTCTACCCATAACAATGAATGGGTAATAACAGCCCACACCCTGAATGATCTCCTGCCTCTCTCTCTCTACCCATAACAATGGGTAATAACAGCCCACACCTTGAATGATCTCCTGCCTCTCTCTCTCTACCCATAACAATGGGTAATAACAGCCCACACCCTGAATGATCTCCTGCCTCTCTCTCTCTACCCATAACAATGGGTAATAACAGCCCACACCTTGAATGATCTCCTGCCTCTCTCTCTCTACCCATAACAATGGGTAATAACAGCCCACACCCTGAATGATCTCCTGCCTCTCTCTCTCTACCCATAACAATGGGTAATAACAGCCCACACCCTGAATGATCTCCTGCCTCTCTCTCTCTACCCATAACAATGAATGGGTAATAACAGCCCACACCCTGAATGATCTCCAGCCTCTCTCTCTCTACCCATAACAATGGGTAATAACAGCACACACCCTGAATGATCTCCTGCCTCTCTCTCTCTACCCATAACAATGAATGGGTAATAACAGCCCACACCCTGAATAATCTCCCGCCTCTCTCTACCCATAACAATGAATGGGTAATAACACCACACACCCTGAATGAACTCCAGCCTCTTATATTCATTAGCTTTTCACTTTACCAGGGAGCCATTTCCACCGCCACTAGACCATCACAGTGATCCCAACAATGTTTACACCGCTTGTCACTCACCCCGACATTTTCCTTTTCCTCCTCTTGTATTGTCTTCTCCTGTCTCACTTCCTCTCGTCTCCTGTCCGTCATCTTCTCGTCCATGGAGATTGAACGCGACTCGAAGGCCTTCCTGATGCAGGCCAACTTGGACGTGCTGTCCTCCTCCAATTCTTCCGATATTTCCTGTTGGTGGCAAATTCTCTATACGGAAACTGTCCATAACACCTAATAATTCCAGTAAGCTACAAAATAAATAAAGAAGATAGTTACAAAATTCAAATAATGTAGAGTACAGCATATCTCTTTAATACTACAAATCACTGTGACTACAAAGTTGAGAGTGACCATAAAAAGCAGTTTCTGATGAGAACATTCAGTTTATCCCTAAAATGCTCAGCATATTAGTGGCTTACATAGATTACTGTCTAGCTACGAACACTACACAATCATGCTTCAATATGTTTGTATATAAATATATATTAATATTAGTGGATGATCAGAAGAGGTTAATATGTCATACAAAAGTAATTATATTACAATAAGGAATATTAACTATGGTACTGAACTGTTTTTGCATTTAGAATATATTACGCTTTCCATCAATTTACAATAGCTATAGTATATTATTATGACCATATTAAAACCCCATAAACAGTACAGTGTAATTCAACATGGATACTGCAAATACGAAAGGACAAAGATGAATTATCATCAACTAAGTATTTATCCTTATGAAAAATAAATTGTCTTAATTACTAAAAGTCGGTACTGAAAGTTACTCCTCGGCAGATATATTTAACCCTTAGATAAAGACGTAACCAACGCATGATCTGTGGTGGATCACCGAGGCGATCACAACACATCATCCTCCTCAAATATTCCGGAGCCGCTTTTTAACACCTTGCAAGCAATAAGAATGGAACATTTTACGTTGTATATGATTGCCCCAGCAAGTCTTTACAAAATCCCTTACAATCTATACACCATTTATGAAGAAACTAGACAATATAAACATCCAGACCCAATACCAATAAGAGAGGTATTTCCCGAGATGTCTAGCAGATGCTGGTCATCCCGTCTGTGGTCAACATCTCGGATATAGCTTAGGGCACCCATCGCGATGACTCGCACGCCCGACCGACGTACCGGGCTCCATCCCTCTACCAATATCTGCTCTACAAACTAATATACGGCAGTTTACATTGTATAATAAAATCACAATTACATGACATATCCATAAGAAAATGTTGAAGTTGCCCACAGGTCAGGAATATGGGATTGATCCTATTGAATGGCGTCAAGATTTTCTCATAATTTACATTAAAATTTGCTTTTGGCAGTAGTTTTGGGGGCCCAAAAAGGCATACTGTGCCTACACTCTTTGTTACAGAAACCAAAAAAAGCACTCAAAATGGGCACAAAAGCATAGCAGAAACAACAACAAAAAGCAAAGCATCATAGCACTAAAAAAAAAAAAAAAAAACGTAGAACACAGGCAAAACTATCACCATACGAACCACCTCAACCTCAACAAGCACTGGTATCCGCCAATATGATCGGCTACGTCATTCACCGACACCCAAGAGAAATTCAACAAAAATTTACGTCAGTGTTAAAACAATGTAAGAAATAATAATAATAAAAATAATATACAGTAATAAATTGTGCCATAAAAATTATACAGTACGGCTCACTATGTTACCAAAATTATACAATACACTTGAAAATATATGTACAAACAAAACAAAAATGTTACTCATGCTTACTTGTAAATGTTACTTGTAACCCTTCGAAATGTTACTTGTAACCCTTCGAAATGTTACTTGTAACCCTTCGAAATGTTACTTGTAACCCTTCAAAATGTTACTTGTAACCCTTCAAAATGTTACTTGTAACCCTTCAAAATGTTACTTGTAACCCTTCAAAATGTTACTTGTAACCCTTCAAAATGTTACTTGTAACCCTTCAAAATGTTACTTGTAACCCTTCAAAATGTTACTTGTAACCCTTCAAAATGTTACTTGTAACCCTTCAAAATGTTACTTGTAACCCTTCAAAATGTTACTTGTAACCCTTCAAAATGTTACTTGTAACCCTCCAAAATGTTACTTGTAACCCTCCAAAAGATGACTATCCAACACCAAGAAACGGACTGTACAATCAAATCACAACAGCGTGATAAATCCATGAGAAAATCTCTGGAGCTGTTTGGATGGAAAGGCACTACCCTTCGCGCCTATCGCAGTCTACCGGGTAATGTGAGCGCCTGCGAGTTCGATTCCATCGCGCTGCTGCAAAGATTTTCTCAAACCAATTCGGCATTTCTCGGCAATGAAATAGATGTGTATCTTTAGAAGCGAGTTCAGTCCAAGCCTGTCTATAATGGGATGCCAGAGGCAACCACACACACAGCATACCTAACTCTAGCAAATCGACTCAATTACGCAGGCTACGCACTCAAAACCTCCTTCAGGCACCATCACCAATGACTCGCACATTTACAAAACCAGATAACTGCTAATCAAGATTAAGTTTCTTAGTGAGTATTTATCGTTTACCAACATTGCACAGACTATCTTTCATGCCAGCATCTCTTCCTGGTACATCTACTCACGTTTTCCATCCACCTCACAACTTTTCCCACCGTTCTATATTCTTTCCCGCATTCCTTTACCACGTACTCTTAGACCTCCGTATCTTGTGTAACTGACCTACTGTTTCTTACAGTATATCATCTCGGCTCTCACAACAGGTTTCCTACCTTCCTCAAACTTTCTCGACTTACCTCCCTATTTCTCTACCCACCTTACTTCCCTTCCTCCCTATTTCTTGACCTACCTGATTACCTCACCCCCTCCTTACTTCCCTTCTTACCATTACTGTTAGATCACTAGCAATATACTATCCAAAGACAGCGGTGTCTCCCTAAGATCTTTATCTATGGCCAGTTAACACAGAGACAAACAAATATAATATTGAGCTGAAAGTTACGATGTCTTAAATACCCAGATTACGTGTTTTTCTGAAACAACGCTCGACACTTTAGAGTGACACTTACAATCACTTATCGCCTCGCTGAATAAGTTCAGAAGATCGAATCCCCGTCACGGCCCTTGTGGATTTGTTCAGGTTCAAATGATGTTACACGCTATAGCAGATTAACCCTAAATGGCTTTAATCACTATCTGCAATTACCTCCTGTATTTGAATCACCACGTGATATATTAGTTTTGTTAACTATACAGTATATCATGCCCACACCTCTCAAGACTTCTAATTACCTAAGCAGTTCAAGGGTTACAAGTCTAGCGCTCTATCCTATCACAATCTCCCACTACCATATTCTAAGATTTACTCAAGATTCTAGACTGGTTAACCGATATCTAGGAAAGCCCAGTCAACTACCTTATTCTTCTTGGTCCTTGGCAAAACTTTAATTGTGACTAAAAACTGCCAATCTACCAAGGAAACTAAACAAATTACACAACATCAGAACTCAGTTGTGAAGCCTAATCAAAAAAGAACCTTGCCCGAGTGTGAGAGAAATAACTTATAAACAACAGAGGGACCTTCATCCCACTGAACGTGCTCGGCATGCCTACCTGCGGCTCTTCCTTAGCCTCATATGTTTTCCGCAGCTGAGAGATGCTAATCCCGCGAGGCTTTGTCTCCTCCTCAGAGTCTATGCATTTGCCACCTACACTGCCATCAGTGTCCTGAATACACAAGAGAGGTCCAATGTTGTCCGTGTTAGTGCCTCACCGGCCTGCATGTCTTACCAACGTCACATATATAACTGCTTAGTAAACAAAACAAAAAATTGAATACAAAAGATTAGCCTACACTGTTGCGCACACTATAACCCCCCCCAAGCTCTTCAACAATGGCCAAACAGCGACCACAGGAGCCGCACGTCCAACAGGACGCACCGTGCCAGCCACGTGCTCATCCCCCTCTTCCTGAAACTGTATCACTCTCCAGCATCCAAAAACTAAAGCAAGGTGATATCTACACCAGCGATGCTGCTGATAATGGGGTCACTGGGGCACAGTAAGGCTGCATCAGTACAATGAGGCATTTACAATGATGATGTATTGTTACAATGATGGTAGATAAGGTAAATTGGTACAGTGATGGTAGATAAGGGTGCATTGTTACAATGATGGGGTATTGTTACAATGGTCGTATATCATTACAATAATGTTATGTTATGATGATGTATCATTATAATGATGGCATATAATTACCGTGTATCATTACAACAATGTTATATTATGATGGTGTATCACTATAACAATGGTATATATAATGACAGTGTATTGTTACAACAATGGTATAATGATGGTGTACTGTATCACTATAATGATGGTATATAACAGCAAATTACAAATATGGTATATAATGATGATGTATCATTACAATGATGGTATATAATGATGGGGGGTTACACACACACTAAAAGTTCCTAGGAAGACCATATAGACAGGCTTGAGGTGGGTACAGCACTTCCACCCGACTACATCTAAACACGTATGACTTGGGTACAAGGTGAATAGGGGGTGAGAGGGGGCATGCAACCGAGTCGTCACTTGCCTCTTTGTTCGTCTCAAAATTTTTACGGAGCTGAGCCAGGTTGTTCTTTACTGGGGCGTCAGCCGAGGGGTCGTCCTCGTTAGTGAGGTTTTTGTTTTCCTGGAGGGGGAAGCTGGAACGCACAGCAGGCTTGGGCATGGGGCTCGGCTTAGCAGGCATGAAGCTTGGCTGTAACGTGGGGGAGCAGCATTCAGACTTGAGAGAGAGAGAGGGAGGGTTAGACTAGGAAAATATGGAATCAATTATGGTGGTGTGGTTCAAGTGTTACAAAGGAAGAAGAGGAGGAGAGGAAGAACACACACAGCGTTATGGTTAGGCCACAAAGCTGTACTAAAGTTGCTACGAGTTCTACGACACTTGCACGTGAGTCAGGATGACGCACACGGAGAGAATCAAACTGACAAAGACATCAGTTCAATACAATTTATGGTGAGTAAAGGTTAGCCAAAACAAAAGGGTGTTAATAACAACATATTCACTAACAGGAGAAATGCTGCACTACATTATTTGACTAAAATATGAAGCAGGAGTGCATTTTATGCAACAAAAACTCACCATTACTCACAACGGAGAAATAATGAAAGATGAAACGCCCAAGAAAATCCAGACGTACCTTTCATTAGCTAAAAGACAACAGAGTCCTCTTATACTGCATTATTTATTTATTTATTTATTGATACACATATACAAGAAGGTACAATGGGTTTAATGAGAGTACAAAGCATTAATGTTTTTACATTCTTGTAAAGCCACTAACACGCATAGCGTTTTTGGGCAGTCTAATTAAATCTGGCGTTTAATACTCATTAAATGTAATCCAGTCTTACGATACAAATGATAACGTGTACAGAACAAGCTCTGTGTCTCGGGTTAAACAGGTGCCCTTTGTTTCAAGTTGAAGATGCAAGTTTCAAATCGGTTTAACAACATCGGCTTTACCTCGGAATGAGACATATGTTTCATCTAAATAAAACACTTGTACATATGCTTCATCTTAAGCATATACAGCACCTTTCACCTCGGCATAAAGACATAAGCTTCACCTCACAGAGATGTAGTCTTCATACTGGCTTAAAATAAGTAAACTACACTCTTGGGGGGTCACATATGTGTATACTTCATCTTGAGGTCACATATATGTAGACATCATCCTGGGGTCACATATGTGTATACTTCACCTTGGGGGTCACATATAATGTGTATACTTCATCCTGGGGTCACCTAATATGTATACTTCATCCTGGGGTCACCTAATATGTATACTTTATCCTGGGGTCACATATGTGTATACTTCATCCTGGGGTCACCTAATATGTATACTTTATCCTGGGGTCACATGTGTATACTTCATCCTGGGGTCACCTAATATGTATACTTCATCCTGGGGTCACCTAATATGTATACTTCATCCTGGGGTCACATATGTGTATACTTCATCCTGGGGTCACATATAATGTGTATACTTCACCTTGGGGTCACATGTGTATACTTCACCTTGGGGTCACATATGTGTATACTTCATTCTGTGGTCACATATAATGTGTATACTTCATCCTGGGGTCACATATGTGTATACTTCATCCTGGGGTCACCTAATGTGCATACTTCATCCTGGGGTCACCTAATGTGCATACTTCATCTTGGGGTCACATGTGTATACTTCATCCTGGGGTCACATATAATGTGTATACTTCATCCTGAGGGTCACATGTGTATACTTCATCCTAAGGGTCACATATAATGTGTATACTTCATCCTGGGAGTCACATATAATGTGTATATTTCATCCTGGGAGTCACATATAATGTGTATACTTCATCCTGGGAGTCACATATAATGTGTATACTTCATCCTGGGGGTCACATAATGTGTATACTTCATCCTGGGCCACATATAATGTGTATACTTCATCCTCGGGTCACATATAATGTGTATACTTCATCATGGGGTCACATATAATGTGTATACTTCATCATGGGGTGATATAATATGTATACTTCATCCTGGGGTCACATATAATGTGTATACTTCATCCTGGGGTCACATATAATGTGTATACTTCACCTTGGGGTCACATAAAATATGTATACTTCACTGTATGGTCACAATGTGTATACTTCATCATGGGGTCACATATAATGTGTATACTTCACCATAGGGTCACATATAATGTGTATACTTCATCATGGGGTCACATATAATGTGTATACTTCATCCTGGGGTTACCTAATATGTATACTTCATCCTGGGGTCACGTATAATGTATATACTTCATCCTGGGGGTCACATAATGTGTATACTTCATCCTGGGGTCACATATAATGTGTATACTTCACCTTGGGGTCACATATTATACTTCACCTTGGGGTCACATATGTGTATACTTCATCCTCGGGTCACATGTGTATACTTCACCTTGGGGTCACATAAAATGTGTATACTTCATCCTGGAATTACATATATAATGTGTATACTTCATCCTGGGGGTCACATAATATGTATACTTCACTTTGGGGCTACATATAATGTGTATACTTCACCTTGGGGTCACATATAATGGGTATACTTCATCCTGGGGTCACATATGTATACTTCATCCTGGGGTCACATATAATGTGTATACTTCACCTTGGGGTCACATATAATGTGTATACTTCATCCTGGTGTCACATATAATGTATATACTTCATCCTGGGGTCATATATAATGTGTATACTTCACCTTGGGGGTCACATATGTGTATACTTCATTCTGGGGTCACATATAATGTGTATACTTCATCCTGGGGTCACATATGTGTATACTTCATCCTGGGGTCACATATGTGTATACTTCATCCTGGGGTCACATATGTGTATACTTCATCCTGGGGTCACATATGTGTATACTTCATCCTGGGGTCACATAATGTGTATACTTCATCCCGAGGATCACATAATGTGTATACTTCACCTTGGGGTCATGTATAGTGTATACTTCACCTTGGGGTCACAATGTGTATACTTCATCCTGGGGCACACACGTGTATACTTCATTCTGGGGGTCACATGTGTATACTTCATTCTGGGGGTCACATAATGAGTATACTTCATCCTGGGGTCACCTAATATGTATACTTCATAATGGGGTCACATATAATGTATATACTTCATCCTGGGGGTCACATAATGTGTATACTTCATCTTGGGGTACAAACATGTATACCTCATCTTGGGGGTCACATATAATGTGTATGCTTCATCCTGGGGGTAACATATAATGTGTATACATCATCCTGGGGTCACAATGTGTATACTTCACCTTGGGGTCACATATGTGTATACTTCTTCCTGAGGTCATGTATAATGTGCATACTTCATCCTGGGGGTAACATATGTGAATACTTCATCCTGGGGTCACAATGTGTATACTTCACCTTGGGGTCACATATAATGTGCATATTTCATCCTGGGGGTCACATATAATGTGTAAACATCACCCTGGGGTCACATAATGTGTATACTTCACCTTGGGGTCACATATAATGTGTATACTTGTCCTGGGGTCACATATCTCTTACCAACACGGAGGTAAGAGATATGAGGCGACCAAGACAAACGAGTGTCAAAAATCAACCCCAAAAAGCATAGCGGAATCCTTGTACACAATGGGGTGACCATAAAGCGACAAAGAAGGACGAAGAACGACACGCTTCCGAGTAAAAGTCATAGCACAATTCTTAGACGTAGAGAACCTGAAGCCATGATCGGTGGCCCAAGACGACATGGCATCAATCGCAAGTTGAAGCCGGCGTTGAAGGAGAGGCGAATCATCACCCTGACAGCAAAGATAAGATCGTCGACCTAGAGAGCGGAGAAGACGCTGGAAGGAAGAGAGGAAAGAAGACCATTGAGGGCAACCAGAAAAAGAGTAATGCTCAGAACACTATCCTGGGGCACACCCTCGTATTGCTGAAAAGAGGCAGAGAGAGCGGTACCAAGCCGCACCTGAAAGGAACGACGAGAGAGGAAGCTTTGGAGAAAGAGAGGGAGATGACCACGAAGGCCAAAAGAATGAAGTTGGGATAGAATATGATATCGCCAAATGGTTGTTGTAAGCCTTTCCGGCTTAAAAAAGACGGCAACAACGGAGGTCTTCGCGGCAAACCAGTACAAATATAGACCTCCAAGTTCATCAGGACATCTGTTTTGCTGCGGCACTTGCGGAAACCAAACTGAGAAGGGAAGAGGTGGTGATGGTGTTCCAAGGACCACATCAGACGAACGTTAACCATACATTCAAAGAGTTTGCAGACACAACTCGTGAGGGCAATAGGGCGAAAGTCCTTAAGGGATGTTCCCAGAGACCCTGGTTTGCGAACAGGGAGGACAACGGCATCGAGCCAATTCTCAGGGACTGACGACGACTCCCAGATCCGATTATACAGACTCGGTAAATACCGAGACGTGTACGAAAGGAGATGGCGAAGCATCCCATAATGAATGCCATCGGAGTCCACCGCCGTAGAAACGCAGAGGGCCAGGGCAGACCGAAGTTCAGAGAGAGAGAGAGAGAGAGAAAGGATCGTTATAGGGAAGTCGAAGACGAGTACAAAAATCTAAAGGACGAGATTTAAGGGACAGGTTTACAAAGAAGGAAAGATGGAAGAAGATGAGAACCAGAGTTAACAGAAGAAAAATGGGAACCCAGTTCGGTAGCAACCTGCAACGGGTTCGCCACAAGAGTATCACGGAGGTGAAGGACCGGCGAGACATTGGGAATGAACTTCTCGCTATCTTCCAGATACGCTTCCAGATCTGCGGCAGAGGAGTTTCGGACATAATGGTTGAGACATAAGACATCCAGCATTCACGTTTAGTTGTACGGATGGCCCTACGGGCCACCGTACTCGCCTTCCAAAAGAAAAGAAAAGAATCGGCCGACTGCCGACGGCGGTGTCTCTTCCAGGTTGCACGCCTACAGCGGACAGCCCGAGCACAGTCTGCATTCCACCAGGGAACGCACTTCCGTGCTCCCCGAGAGGAAGAGCGAGGAATAGAGCTGAGGGCAGCGTCGAAGACGGTGTCATGAAAAAGGAGGAGAGAGCGAGGGAGAGGCAGAAGGGAGAGGTCAGAGAGAGCAGCACTGAGGGTAAATGGGTTACAGTCTGCCTTAGCAAACTGCCACCTAGGGAAGGAGAGGGGAGGGTGAAAAAAGAAAAAGATAACAAGGATGGGGAAATGGTCACTGCCATGGAGGTTATCAAGAACCTGCCACGTGAAATCTAAGCAAAGAGAAAGATCAAGACAGGAAAGGGCGCGCGTCTGCAAGTCCAAATGAGTGGGCTCACCAGAATTCAGAAGAGACAGGGAAGAAGAGAGGATAAACGGTTCAAGAAGGTGACCCCGGGTGTTTGTCAGAACATCACCCCAAAGGGTATGACGACAACTGAAATCACCTAGCAGGAGCACAGGCTCCGTCAAGGAGTCCAGTAGGTGTTTAATATCGAGAAGAGAAAGCGGGTCACTCTGGGGAAGATAAATGGAACAAACCATTTCCTCACAAAGATACTGGCAGCAGAACAATGGAGAGGCGAAGGAAAAAGTAAGGGGACAAAGGGAACATCAAAAGAGAATCAAGAGAGCAGAAGAGTTAGGAGCCCCGGCAACAGCTGGGGGGGGGGGGGGGGGGGAGAAAGGAATAGCCACGAAAGCGACCAGGACGAGCACCAAGCATCGGCTCCTGGAGACAGACACAAAGGGGCGAAAACCGCGAAATCAGAAGTTGGAGTTCAAGGAAATTAGCGTAATAACCACGAACATTCCACAGAAGAATAGACATCGACAAGAAGAGAAAGGACAGCAACAGAGAACAACGAAGAAACAAAGGTGAAAAGGAAACACAGCACATTAAAGAAGCGCAGAATCAGGGTCAGGGTCAGCGAAGTCGGGGTTAGGGGGCATGGGTAAACTGAGTAAAGAAGGAGGGAAGGGAGCTGGATGACTGACCAGGGGCGGACGAGCAGGGTCCGGAGGAGGAAGAGGGAGGGACAACCGAGGGTCAAGGACAGCAGCAAGAGGGACAGAAACTAGGGAGTGCACCTCAGCAAGGGCAGCAACCGAGAGGGAAGCGGGGGCCAAAGAGACCTCGATAGCAGGAACAGGGGGCGTAACCACCGAAATGGGAGGGGATGGAGCGAGAGAGTCAGAGGTAGGGGGCGAGGAAGAAAGCGAAACCTTCTTACCCACCGGAGAGGAGGAAGGAGAGGAGCCAGGCTTACGCTTCTGACTCAAAGAGACAGGCATCCTAGCAACAATGTACTGGGCAACAGATTCTAGCATCTCAACAGGAGAAGCAGAACGAGAGCAAACATGACAGCCGTAGGGAGAGCGATGGACATCAGCCCGTACAGACAGGCGGCGTAGAGAGCCAATAGACGGAGGAGAAGGATGGGAAGGAGGAGCGGAGGGAGACGAGAAAGAAGACACAGGAGACATGACAGACCGGGCAGAAAGAAGGGGAACTCCAGACAGATGACCATGAGGGGGACCCTTCAGGACAGAACTCAAAGGAACAGAGGAAGAGGCGGTGGGTGTGTCAGGGGTCTAAGGCCTGGAAACTGTTGTGAGTCTGAGGAAGGTGGGAAGGACGAGGAGAGGAAGAGCGCAACACTCGAGCATAAGAGATGTTAGCATAAGGTGGGAGACGACGAACTTGGCGCTTCACCTCAGGAAAAGACAAACGCTCCCGGTGCTTCAAGTTGAGGATGGCTGCCTCAAGCTTGTAATGTATACACGCGCGGGAGAAGGTAGGGTGGGCCTCACTGCAATTGAGGCAGCGGGCCTGGGGAGAAGTGCACTCCGATCTTCGCCCCCACACATGGGACAGAAAGAGACAGTACCAAAGCAGTGGAGGGCACCATGCCCAAACCTCCAGCACTTATTACAGAGCTGAGGAGAGGGAATGTACTCCTGGACGGAGCACCTGGCACCAGCAAGAATGACAGGGCAGAAGGGTCCTACCATCAAAGGTAATCTTCACAACCCGAAGGAGCAGACTTGGGTTTTCACTTTGGTTTCCTGCAAGTAGAAGCCTTTAACAAACCATTTTGTGCATTTTAAGAACATGTGGTAGCAGTAGGTTTATACCTGGATTGTATCTGTAATGGGTTGTGGGAGTTCTTCTACTCCTCAAGCCCAGTCTGGGGCCAGGCTTGACTTGTGAGAACTTGGTCCACCATGACCACAGCTCACAGGCCCACATATTTACTACAACTCGGTTCCTCCAGCACTTCTTGCACGAAATTGTTGAATTTTGAATTCCATTTTTGTATTAGCCATATTTCTTATAATTTCTGGGAGGATATTGAACAGCTGCAGATTACCAAGGATGTTCACAGTGTTCTCTGACTGTATGTATAGCACCTCTACTCTTCACTGGCTCTATTCCTTATTTCCTACAGTACTATTCACTCGTGTTTATTCTTTTCAATGAAATATTACAGAGCTCCAGGCAACAGCCTGTTGGACCAAGCTCTCACAAGTCAAGCCTGGCCTCGGGCAGGGCTTGGGGCCAAATACCATAACTTTTCAATGGTCACTACAATTTTATTGACAAGCAACAACAAATACCAACCAATAAATCTTTATAAACCAACAACACTTCCAAAAGTAAGCACACATCAAACTACTTCAACTACTACTACTACTACTGCTGCTGCTGCTGCTGTAATACCCGCAAGAAAAAACAAATAACCCAAAAATAAATTCATAAACTATGCACACTTCTCATTTTCACTCTACCTTTACCGCTACCATCGGCTTGGAGAGCGTTGGACGCACTTCGCTCATAGGCTTGTTCTCGGTGCCATTGGAGATCCACGACCTTGGGGCCGGCACAGGCACATCAACTTCGACGGGTTTGTGTTCGACGCGTTCATACAGGGGACCTCGGTGAATCTGAATATGGACACAGAGGGAAGAATGGAAGGGGTATGCTTAGTTACTACTACATCATGTCAGTCCCTCACTACATACAGGATTTACTGCATTCCCCTCACAAAATATCCACCTACTATTTACAGCACTTTACAAGTATACTTTTGGGAGTGTATATCCTTATTGGATAATAATGAACAGAATTACATAGTTGCTATCAAATCAAAAACTTTATATTCATAAATGGTTGTACATTTATAATTGGGAAAGTTTACATACAGAATTACAGTATGTTAATTACACAAGAGTAAGAGACAATACCAGCATAGCACCTTAGATGTTGTCATCATCCAAATGTTAATTACACAAGAGTAAGAGACAATACCAGCATAGCCCCTTAGACGTTGTCATCATCCAAATGTTAATTACACAAGAGTAAGAGACTATTAATACCAGCATAGCACCTTAGACGTTGTCATCATCCAAATCAGAATCATAAACTTTACTTGTAAGACCTTATACAAATCATTACAATAATGGGTGGACAAAGCGGTGACATTTAGCTTACAATTTGAAAGGTGATATAGTGGAAAAACAAAGATTACTTTACCATTAGGGTTATAAGAGAGTTATTGGCACAATTTACATCACGAAATTGGGATTATAATATGACAACTAGAAAAACTAATATAAATTAATCATACGGTTACGGTGATATCATAGAAATTTGCACACCTCCGGCACGTTATCAACAGATTTTGTGGCTATCCCAGCTCAAAAATCACACTAAACACAGAGCTTAAATAACATTGATCCCACTTCAAAAAACACAAAATGCCAGTCGTTACATCACCTCTTTGTAACAGTACTTCCTTCATAATTCTAAATGACAAGTACGAGTGACAAAATAAAATTACTAAAGTTGTATTTCCTAACATTTACGTTTATATATTTTTTGAAGTACGAGTGGCCAGTGATAAGCAAGTGCCCAGAGGCCCCCAGAGGCCTGACTGCTGAGTGGCCAGCACTCGAGATTCATAGTCCTGAGGTTCCGGGTTTGATTCCCGGCAGAGGCGGAAACAAATGGGCAGCGTTTCTCTCACCCTGATTCACCTAGCAGTAAATAGGTACCCGAGAGTTAGACAGCTGCTACGGGCTGCTTCCTGGTCGTGTGTGACAAAAAGGAGGTCTGGTCAAGGACCGGGCCACGGGGGACGCAAAGCCCTGAAATCTCAAGATACCCCCCCCCCCTTACCTTAAGGTTACCTTGAGGTGCTTCCGGGGCTTAGCGTTCCCGCGGCCCTGTCGTAGACCAGGCCTCCTGGTTGCCGGACTGATCAACCAGGCTGTTGGACGCGGCTGCTGGCAGCCTGACATATGAATCACAGCCTGGTTGATCAGGTATCCTTTGGAGGTGCTTATCCAGTTCTCTCTTGAACACTGTGAGGGGATTGCCAGTTATGCCCCTTATGTGTAGCGGAAGCGTGTTGAACAGTCTCGGGCCTCTGATGTTGATAGAGTTCTCTCTCAGAGTACCTGTTGCACCTCTGCTCTTCAATGGGGGTATTCTGCACATCCTGCCATGTCTTCTGGTCTCACGTGATGTTATTTCTGTGTGCAGGTTTGGGACCAGCCCCTCTAATATTTTCCACGTGTAAATTATTATGTACCTCTCCCGCCTGCGCTCAAGGGAGTACAGTTTTAGGCTCTTTAGTCGGTCCCAATAGTTTAGGTGTTTTACTGAGTGGATTCTAGCAGTAAAGGATCTCTGCATGCTCTCCAGGTCAACAATTTCTCCAGCTTTGAAAGGGGCTGTCATTGTGCAGCAGATAAAAAAAGAGTTGAAAGAGTTTACTGGATGGTGACTCATTTAAACAAAATGATATCATTCGTGAAATACTTATTCAAGTGTGGGCGTAGACATTAGGCTAGGCACTGTACTTAAGTACAGTATGCTCATTTTAGATAACAATAAACAGAATTACACACTGTAGTAAAATTAAACAGTGGTTATATAGCTTCTCCCAAAATATATAGGTAAACTCAGGTATATAACAGAAATAGAAAAACTTGTGCAGATGATGAGTTGAAATAATGTGGCTGAGGAGATATGGCGATCAAACCTAACATGAGAAAATGAACAAACGACGATGTTTCTGTCCGTCCTGGACCATTATCAAGTCATGTGATGGAAAACCTATTTTACTGTACTGTTGATAAGTTTAAATACGAACATTTGTGTGAGTGATGATAGAAGTATTTGTGCAAACAAAGCTGAGAGTAGGAGAAGTCAGGGGAGGAAAGTGGATGATGCAACGGATCAAGATCCATTACCACAGGATAAACGTGATGCTAACCTGGAACTTTGGTGTTGGTCTCTTGGCCGGATCAAGCGAGATGCTCTTGACGGGGGAGTTGGTACCTCCGAGCCACTGGGAGATGGTCGTCGACGGCTCATATCCTGGAGTCTCTGGGAAAATGTCGGCATGGAACTCTCGGTACGTCTGCAAAGGTAACACCACGCACTGCATTCACAAATGTTTAAAACAAGTACAGTATTACAAACAAATAACTTGCACCATATTAACACTTTCGCGCTCTCCGCAAAGGTCACTCAGCCAACCGAATGTGCGCGCTGCGTTTTTATCGCTTAAGCGTAAAAACAAAAATGTGTATACTCTTTTTTACTCTTCTGACCTTAGTTCTCATGCTACGTATTTCATTTTGGTACCAACGTGTTCGCAATAAAATTCTCTAGAAGAACATTAGTAAAATACGTCACGAAACATATAGGGATACCAGCACCAAATAAATAACTACGTAGATGACTCGCCGTGAGCGCCCATCAGCAACAAAATGTTTTTACTCTTGGGATTGTAATCACCTCCACACTTGTTCTACAGCGTTAATTTTGGTATCAATGGACTCGCAATGAAATTCCCAACACGGTGATATGAATATAAGCGTAGAATAATGATGCAGCCCGCCCGCAAGAGTGTGGGAAGTGGTGAAATTGTTACCCGGTATCGGTGACGGGACGACGCACGGCGCTTTGAAAGTTTATACTTATTTCACTCTCATGACATTAATTTTCTATGTACGTCATTCATTTTTATGTCAATGTGTTCGCAATAGAATGTTCTATGTGCCTATAGGTAAAAAATATCAACAAAGCGTAAGTTAGAATAGCGACAAATATAAAACAACGCTGGAACACATCAGTGAGCGTCAAACACACACGAAATATTTTTACTTTTGTTATGTTTGTCAAGATTATACTTGTTGCACACAGTTATTTTTGGTTGTATATTGATCGGAATAAAATTCCCTAAACAGACATATGCATCTAATACATGATATGGGGGAAGAATTACCAGTATAAACGGCTAAAGTCACCCACCTGCAACCCGTTTGGGACAAAATACCATTTGATCGAAGTTATCCACACCTTTCATGAACTTATTGTACCATGCAGCCTAGTGGTGAGAAAGAGAGCCTCATAGCGCGCAGTTTGAAACAAACCCAAAGTAAATCGGATAAAAATTGAATTTTATACAAATATTTTAAAAGTAGACATAACTTTATGTCCACTATGCGTTTACGCGACGAAACCGAACGCGCCGGCGCGTCCAGATAGCGCGAAAGTGTTAAAATGAATCCCATCACAATTATAACAAAAGTGACCAGTGAATGCAGAAGAGTCCCTGAGGAATTGGAGATCAACAAATCACATCTGGTAGAAAGAAATAGCACACAATGTGTGAGGTTTATGCATGCCACCGACCTATCAATCATACACGTGCCTGGGGCAGTCCCGAGATATGTGATCGAGCCCGTTGTAAGGCCTCAATATTTTCTCATACATAGATCACGTTATTGTGATTTCATTGACCCTCAATGGATTAACTGATTAATAAATAACATCACTGTGACACTAAGGTCATTGATACCATATAAATAATGAATATCACTGGCACTGTAACAATGTCATTGAGGCTATATACGCAAACATTCATCTAACATACAATAGTGGTGTGACTCCCAAACAGGAAGTAAAAACCTGAAGATTTTTCTGTTGTTCTGTTGCACAACAGGACTGAAAGGCTAATCCCTAGAAAATGGGATATTCTTAGTCTGCCTTCTATCTTTTGGACAGACGACAGGCTTCACAAGCCACTCTGAACTGCCCTCTGGCTCGTCTAATCCTGCAACTACTCCTCAGAAAACAACTTGAAGGTTTGTAAAGTACCAAACAGATTCTAAGAAGCTTTTCAGATTGAAATAGAGTGGAGGCCTAGTACAGGAGATGGTGTGAGAGTGGAGGCCTAGTACGGGAGATGGTGTGAGAGTGGAGGCCTAGTACAGGAGATGGTGTGAGAGTGGAGGCCTAGTACGGGAGATGGTGTGAGAGTGGAGGCCTAGTACAGGAGATGGTGTGAGAGTGGAGGCCTAGTACAAGAGATGGTGTGAGAGTGGAGGCCTAGTACAAGAGATGGTGTGAGAGTGGAGGCCTAGTACAGGAGATGGTGTGAGAGTGGAGGCCTAGTACAGGAGATGGTGTGAGAGTGGAGGCCTAGTACAGGAGATGGTGTGAGAGTGGAGGCCTAGTACGGGAGATGGTGTGAGAGTGGAGGCCTAGTATGGGAGATGATGAGAGAGTGGAGGCCTAGTACAGGAGATGGTGTGAGAGTGGAGGCCTAGTATGGGAGATGATGAGAGAGTGGAGGCCTAGTACGGGAGATGGTGTGAGAGTGGAGGCCTAGTACAGGAGATGGTGTGAGAGTGGAGGCCTAGTACAGGAGATGGTGTGAGAGTGGAGGCCTAGTATGGGAGATGATGAGAGAGTGGAGGCCTAGTACGGGAGATGGTGTGAGAGTGGAGGCCTAGTACGGGAGATGGTGAGAGAGTGGAGGCCTAGTACAGGAGATGGTGTGTGAGTGGAGGCCTAGTACGGGAGATGGTGAGAGATTGGAGGCCTAGTACGGGAGATGGTGAGTGTGTGGAGGCCTAGTACGGGAGATGGTGAGAGAGTGGAGGCCTAGTACAGGAGATGGTGTGTGAGTGGAGGCCTAGTACGGGAGATGGTGAGAGATTGGAGGCCTAGTACGGGAGATGTTGAGTGTGTGGAGGCCTAGTACGGGAGATGGTGAGAGAGTGGAGGCCTAGTACGGGAGATGGTGTGAGAGTGGAGGCCTAGTACGGGAGATGGTGAGAGAGTGGAGGCCTAGTACGGGAGATGGTGTGAGAGTGGAGGCCTAGTACGGGAGATGGTGTGAGAGTGGAGGCCTAGTACGGGAGATGGTGTGAGAGTGGAGGCCTAGTACAGGAGATGGTGAGAAATTAGAAACTATAACAGAAGTCCAAGTGTTAATCTTCCTTCACACAGACACAGTTAGATAAGCCACCATTAATAAATAACCATCCACTAGCAACCACCAATTGTAATTAAACAACATTAACTAACCTTGCATTAGGCAAAGCCAGAAAGTACTTGGAACGGATCACATCCTCACCTTTCTGGGCACCTGATACGTGATGGGAATGATGGCGTTTGAGGTGAGTTGCAAGAGCCTGTTCACTTCTCCAGTCATAACGTCTAGGCCGCGCTTCGGGACCAGACACGCCCCCTTGGTCTGCACCGAACCTGTGCACATTGTAAAATATTAAATTTAATACAGGTGAAATGCTTTTGATAACCGCACACACTAAATGGAAATCTCTAAACCAGGACAAAAACAAATATCTTAGCCAGTTAAGTAACTTTTCTACACCAGTAATACACAGTTTTGGCCAAAGGCATCCCAATGTATGGGCACTAGCATGACCCACAGTCAGCAATCCTACCAATCCTCTGTACGTCTGTACACATGATAGGTAACACGCACTACATCACTTCCACATTTTGATCCAGCTCAACACACTACTTGCTGTGCCCAAAAAACCTACCACATGCAAAATATTGTATACTAAATGGAAAAAATGAATGTGCCAAACAATGTACAGTGGTACCTCGGAATGCGATTGTCCCTGTATGCGAGGTTTTCGGAAGGTGAGCAGTATTTACTCCAAAAATTTGTCTCAGAAGGCGAGGGTTACTTCGGGACGCGAGTTTGTTGATACGCGTACAGGCCGACCTAGCACGTGGTGGTTCGGCGATCGTCGCCCCTCCGCCCCTCAGTTTACCATTGTCTCGCGCTCAGTGACTACCCCCACATCAATTCTTCTCGCGGATTTTCAGTGTTTTGTTGGATTTTTGGTGATTTGTCTATACAATTTGTTATTATATATATCTCACCATGGGTCCCAAGAAAGCCAGTGGTAAGGATAAAGGCCAGAAAGCTCATGTGAGGATGACAATAGAGGAGAAACAAGAGATCATTCGGAAGCATGAGAACGGTACACGTGTTGTTGAACTTTGTAGGCAGTACAACAAAGCCACATCAACAATATGCACTATACTTAAGAAGAAAAATAAGATTATGGGTGCTAAAGTGGCAAAAGGAGTAAGAACATTAATGGCACAAAGACCACAAATACTTGAAGAAGTGGAAAAGTTGTTATTAATTTGGATACACGACAAGGAGTTGAGGGGTGATAGTGTTTCGGAGGCCATTATTTGTGAGAAAGCCAGGGTGTTGCACGAAGACCTTCTAAAGAATACCCCTGCAACGAGTGATGCAGATAAGAAAGAGTTTAAGGCAAGCAGGGGCTGGTTTGAAAAATTTAGAATGAGAAGTGGTATCCATAGTGTTACAAGGCATGGGGTTATGTGATGTGATTATGGAAGGGGACTCCCCTTCCAAACAGTACAAACAGTTAGTACAGTCTCCGTGGTGTAGTGGTAAGACACTCGCCTGGCGTTCCGCAAGCGCTATGTCATGGGTTCGTATCCTGGCCGGGGAGGATTTACTGGGCGCAATTCCTTACCTGTAGCCTCTGTTTAACGCAACAGTAAAATGTGTACTTGGACGAAAAAACGATTCTTCGCGGCAGGGGATCGTATTCCAGGGACCATAGAATTAAGGACTTGCCCGAAACGCTACGCGTACTAGTGGCTGTACAAGAATGTAACAACTCTTGTATATATCTCAAAAAAAAAAAAAAAAAAAAAAAAAAAAAAAAAAAAAAAAAAAGTAACTCCTCTCCTCCTCCCCCCTCCTCACCATCTTCCATACGCCTACAGCACTCGACAGCAAGGTAAGTAATAACTGGAACACAGTTTTGTAGGTTTATTTAGATGAATTAGGTAAATTAGGTATAAAAATTTAGTTTGATGTGGGGTTTTTGGGGTAGTCAGGAACGGATTAATTCATTTCCCTTTATTTCTTATAGAAAGAAAGTATCCTGGCCGGAGGATATCCTGGCCTTTCCCTTCCATCCTGGAAAGGTCAGTAGTTAGACTAGGGGGAGGAGGGGGTGGGACACTGATACACCTACGTACACCTTCATGTCTCCAACGACGGGAATTGCACGAGAGCAAGGTATCACGAAGCATCTGCATTCCCACGAGCGAGATCTCTACCTCTTACCTCAATCATATCTGCATAGTTCCTGAACAGTTTATGAGCTTTAAAATGGTGTAAGGTCATCCATAAAAATAATAACCAGGAGTTGAGGATGACCATGAAATGGTTCAGAAGGGAAGGGAACTATTAGGGGAAAGTGCCGAGCCATTATGACTATATAGCACTGGGATGAGGGGAAAGAATGGTGCCCAACCACTTGGACGGTCGGCTTTGAACGCCGACCTGCATGAAGCGAGACCGTCGCTCTACCCAATCCCAAGTGGTTGGGCAAAAACTTCCAAACTGTTCACTGCATAGTGACACAGCCACCGTAATCTAGGTAAAGAGGCAAGATTCTTGTAAGTGAAGACATGTACATACAGTGTACTCTGAATCCTTGCTCTAGTGAGCCATCTCTAGGATATTAGAGGGGGAATCTTTGAGTCAGGTTAATATTTTAAAAACACACAGTGAAAAACTAGTTGCCTGAAGACTTACCATTGTGTTTGAGACCCTCTGTGAGGAAAGGGTCTTTCTCTGTCACCTCCCAATACATGATGCTCACATCAGCCTTGCCCGCCAAGAACAGCATGTTGGTGTCCGAGTCAAACAACGGCATCAAAATGCTGTCCCACACGAGTGAAAGAAAGAGATCGGTTAAAATATGCCTATGACTAAAATTTAGGCTTTAAAAACTGAGTCAATGGATACTCTCCACTAATTCTAAGATATAAATCAAAAGAGCATCATGTAAAGTGACAACTCTCCTTCCTGAGCAGTGCCTCGCCTGCTTCCCCGGCCAGGACAATGGGGTCATCCAGGTGTCAGTACTAGGCAGCACTACACTCCTTCCTGAGCGGTGCCTCACCTGCTTCCCCGGCCAGGACAATGGGGTCATCCAGGTGTCAGTAGCTGGCAGCACTACACTCCTTCCTGAGCAGTGCCTCACCTGCTTCCTCAGCCAGGACAATGGGGTCATCCAGGTGTCAGTAGCTGGCAGCACTACACTCCTTCCTGAGCGGTGCCTCACCTGCTTCCTCAGCCAGGACAATGGGGTCATCCAGGTGTCAGTAGCTGGCAGCACTACTCTCCTTCCTGAGCGGTGCCTCGCCTGCTTCCCCGGCCAGGACAATGGGGTCATCCAGGTGTCAGTACCTGGCAGCACTACTCTCCTTCCTGAGCGGTGCCTCGCCTGCTTCCCCGGCCAGGACAATGGGGTCATCCAGGTGTCAGTACCTGGCAGCACTACTCTCCTTCCTGAGCGGTGCCTCGCCTGCTTCCCCGGCCAGGACAATGGGGTCATCCAGGTGTCAGTACTAGGCAGCACTACACAGTACTTGCTCCCCAGCATGGTGCCCATTCACGGTGTATATGCCTGACTTCAGTCTGGTTTGTTGATTATCTTCCCCAGGCTTTAATTGTCGAAGACCAATGGTCACCATATATATCTCAAAGGTTGTTTGGTAGCCTTATCATTCTCCGACTCTCTTCAGTTGGGTCACACCCTTAGCAGTGTTGGTGGGACTCTTTCTCTGGCCTTGATACAAGACTTATACATTCACACACATACTTAGGGTCCCCAAAGAGTGTGCTGTTGGAGTGGTTACTTGCTAGATATGCTCAGCAGGGTGTTTTGGCTCGTGTCACGGTGACTAGTTTGTATTTTCAATAGGTGTAGTTCATGGCTATCCTTGCTCTTCTTCATTGGTATGGTGAGTGGGTTTGGCAAGTGTTGCACCTGGACTTGCTCCTTGAGTGTTGCATCAGGTAAGGGTTGTAATGAGAATCTTCACCTCAAAACTGCAGGCCAAGACAATATGACGTTATTTATTCCTGAGGGTGTCAAGAGCCTGGCATGAACCCCTAGCCCATGCTAGGGAAGCAGTTAAATATGCAACTATCTAATTAAATATATTAAATAATGTAACACTGAAGAGTATAACCCAGTTACCTTTATTCACTAACTCTCACTCGCCCAGCCCACTACATTCACACTCACCCAGCCCACTACACTCCCTCTCGACCTGCTCATCACACTCCCACTCACTCAGTTCATCACCTCTCACTTGCCCATTTATTACACTCGTCCCAAACTCCCGGCTCCACTCACCATGACCCAACTTACCCAGTGGAAGAGTCAAAACCCTGAATTTTATAAGGTTTGGAAAAGTTACGGAGATCTCGTATTCTGACTTCGCGGATCCGCGACCCGTCCCAGCCGGTGGACAGCACGCGGTCAGTCTGGCCCAGCCACTCCACTCTTGAGTCCTTGGGGCTCTTGTGGCTCTCCGCCTAAAACAAACAAGAATACAAAATGGCACTGATCTGTTCCGTGCGGATAATTGCCGCATGTACGTAATTATGCAAATAATTTCCTTGCAAACCTATTGATAACAAGTACCTCAAGTACCTATTTAACCAATTAATTGCCCAGTGTAATGATTTACAGGAAATGAGTAAGCATCTTGGGTGCCTATTTACCTATTTATTTTGTGCCTATTTATGCAACTTCCTTGTCAAGCTACTGGTATTTACCTAAAAAAATTCCATGTGTCCAATAAGTACCTACTTTATCCAACCTAAAGTACCTATTCATCTAAATCATTTCCTTACATCTCCATCTATCGTGGTGTATCTTACTTAATTTTCTAATGTACAGTAAACCTATGGTTTTCATGGGGGCTGCCTTCCTGAATGACCTTATAAATACTGAATTAAACATAAATAATCAAATAAGGTCACAAGGGAGAAAAAATGAACCTAACCTTACAGAAGACCCCTCAATCATGGGTTACATTATTACCGAAAACTCCTGCCTCACCTCATCCCCACGAATGACATAGACTAGGGGAAAACATTACTTTTAATTCTGTTAGGAAGCACCGTGGGGAGGGCATCAAGAGGCGCGGAATATTTGGGAAGTGCCACAATGCCAGAAAATAATCGCCCATGTACATAAGACCCTGCCCCTGGAGAAACGCGGGTCTTCTCGCTTGCGAGGCAAGCACAGGAGCATAGCAAGCACTGTGGTCTACTGCACAACTGCCAATACTTGCAGCAAGTATGAATGCAACTCCTCAGAACAAGTTTCAAACAAGTATTACAAATGCAATACATTAACATCAGGTGTTTCATAAATGAAAATGATCAAGCATTTGATTTTTAACTTCATACTTCAAGCTAAAAATATATCTTGAGAAATACAAATGAGTGACTTGAGCACCCATTTACACCCATGCAGTAATATATTCCCACTCATTAAGCCCAACTAACAACAGATTATCAAAAGCCCCCAACTAACAGGACTGCTGACACTAGTTCTCATCTACAATGCCACAAAAATTCATATTAAACCACTTAATACTAAACACTAACCTCGTAGGCAACCTTATCTGCCCGAGGGTCAATGACACGGATGGTGCGGTCCTTGGACGTGGTAACAAACAGGGAGCCGTTACCATGCCAGCTTGTATTCTGCACCTGATCCTCGTGGCCACTGAAGCCTGTGTGCGGCGGAGATGGTTGTTGGAGGGAGGCCAGGATGTTAGTGTGATTACAACTGACCTGCGGCTACAGCCTCGCCAATAAACTGATGTTATACTTCAAAAAAATAACAAAAGCAACAAGAAATAACTACTGGTTATAGTTTGCATCAGGCCAAATCCTCGCTACCGACGATACAGAGTCGCACACCAAAAAGCAACAGCAGATTGTTACATGGTTAATGACAAATAACTGCTATGGCCTATTAACATTTTAACATTCCGACTCGTTGGTGCATTCCTGACCGCAAACGATCCAGGCATCTCAAGGTCCCACTTGCCGACACTCAAATGGCCATGCCGGCCGCCTTTGTAACCTTTTCTCAATCTTTTTTTTAGGTTGTAACTATAAATTTTGTCAAAATGTTAGCAAATGAATTTGCTAGAATACTGATGCAAAAGTGCTTTTATAATAGGTCTAATACCTATTATTATAATAATAATAATACATAGGCCTCAATGGTTCTACCATAGGATACAATGGTTCCTACCATAGGTCACAATGGTTCCTACCATAGTCCACAATGGTTCCTACCATAGGTCACAATGGTTCCTACCATAGGTCACAATGGTTCCTACCATAGTCCACAATGGTTCCTACCATAGTCCACAATGGTTCCTACCATAGTCCACAATGGTTCCTACCATCTTGAGGTTATCTTGAGATGATTTCGGGGCTTTAGTGTCCCCGCGGCCCGGTCCTCGACCAGGCCTCCACCCCCAGGAAGCAGCCCGTGACAGCTGACCAACACCCAGGTACCTAATTTACTGCTAGGTAACAGGGGCATAGGGTGAAAGAAACTCTGCCCATTGTTTCTCGCCGGCGCCTGGGATCGAACCCAGGACCACAGGATCACAAGTCCCGCATGCTGTCCGCTCGGCCGACCGACTCCCATGTGACCATATGTGACCATATGGTCACCATTGTGACCATAGGTAACAATAGTTCCTACCATAGGCCACAATGGTTCCTACCATAGGCCACAATAGTTCCTACCATAGGTCACAATGGTTCCTACCATAGTCCACAATGGTTCCTACCATAGTCCACAATGGTTCCTACCATAGGTCACAATGGTTCCTACCATAGGTCACAATGGTTCCTACCATAGTCCACAATGGTTCCTACCATAGTCCACAATGGTTCCTACCATAGTCCACAATGGTTCCTACCATAGTCCACAATGGTTCCTACCATAGGTCACAATGGTTCCTACCATAGGTTCCACAATGGTTCCTACCATAGGTCACAATGGTTCCTACCATACCATAGTCCACAATGGTTCCTACCATAGTCCACAATGGTTCCTACCATAGTCCACAATGGGTCCTACCATAGTCCACAATGGTTCCTACCATAGGTCACAATGGTTCCTACCATAGTCCACAATGGTTCCTACCATAGTCCACAATGGGTCCTACCATAGTCCACAATGGTTCCTACCATAGGTCACAATGGTTCCTACCATAGGTCACAATGGTTCCTACCATAGTCCACAATGGTTCCTACCATAGGTCACAATGGTTCCTACCATAGGCCACAATGGTTCCTATGGCAGGAACAGTTTAAGGGTTAAAGTGCATTTTGGGAATTCCGAGATGCATTTTAATATCATCGAAACATTTACTAAGTATGGATGATGCGTTTTTGTGCAATTGGAATGCCAAAATAATAATAGGTGTTTTTATACAAAAAAAAAATTAGACACCATTTCTAATGTATTCTGTATTTAACCAATTACTTTGTTACTTGTTACGTAAAAATTTATGATATTTGTTACGTAAAAACAAAAAACTATGAGCTCACCATAGCCTGTGCTACTTGGAACTTTGTGTTCCAAGTACCGAATCTTAAACAACAACAACAATTACTTTATATACAAGACAAGAACAGAGACATGCTATAAAATCTCAGAGATGACAGTGAGATTGGTCCTTTTAACGCAACCAACAAAATGTGACGGGGGGTAATATATATATAGGCACAAAGCACAAGCGCTTAGTGTGATATTGTCACGTGCCGTGTTTCCTGCGGTGTACTGGAGAATATGGGAGGCAGGTGTGACGGGCAATATTTGGGGGTCTTGTCTGGTGATGATCACACGGTACGGTAGAGATGATAATGACGACGGCCACGTTATAACCATGGCTTGGATGATGCCAAAGACAACTCCATGACTCAAATTATTATTATTATTATTATTTGTGATTATATTTTAGGAAGAGTGCAGTTCATGTTTATGTAGCGTAACACTGGGATTATGTGGTAGTTGGGCGTGTCTGGTAAACTCTTGTTTTACAGACACACTTAAGTGCCACTACCTCAATGTACTTAAACCTTTAACAAGTGTTATTATATGGAATTTGTTGTTAACAATGTTAGCTTTTTATAAAAAATTACTTAAATTTTAACTTTTATAAGTGTCTCATGGGAATTTTTGTTATTTATTTATTTACAGGCAAACAATTTCATTTATTTTACAAACTTGACAACAAGACACACCTCTATTGCACTTGGCATTATGAACACGGCAACATGGCATTGCCGCCCTCCCTCAATTAAGCCACATTAAACAAGCCTAAATTCTCGTCTATAATTAGTTGCACCAAAGAACTAGTAACAGCAGCCTCCATACTTACCAAGAGCTACAGCCTGTCATCTGCAAATTACAGAGCAGAGGAAAAATTTTTCCTTCGAACAACACGGACAATGGTATGACACTGACCCATACCCACTGTGACTCACTAAGTGATAAATAATTAGAGTACAGTTCTTGCCCCCGTCTCACGAGTCAAGGTAAACGTGTACTCTCCCTGTAACGTCATGAGTAAAAGTGTACTCACCCTGTAACGAATCAGGCTGATGGTATGACACAAATTCCTACAAAATGCCGACTCGCTAATTTATTAAGAAACTACTTATCTTCACCTTGCCTCACGAGCCAAGGCAAAATTACTAACCAATCTCTCTAAAAAAATTAAAATATTACAAATACAGAGTAGATTACGTCATTACTCACTGAAAATTTCTTTCTCGTGCTTGATGTCCCAGAGTTTGACAGTGTCGAAGTATGCCACAGTTAGTAAAAATTCTGCAGTAGGGTGAAAGAGCACGTTTTCAACACGTTTGTCAAATTGTGGGAGCGAGTAATCTGCATTGGCCAGACTCTCGGTCAACCCAGCCTCCGGGATGTGCCACACTCTTACCTAAAAACACAAAATAAACACTGTAGAGCTTTCTCATCCTCATTAACCCCCTTTCCCATAGCAATAGCATGAGGCGGCATCAGCATAGAGGACGGCAAATAGGAAAACAACGCTAAACACATTCAAAATAATGCCTGTATATTCACCTCATTTTCCATATTAAACATCACAGTTCCCCAGTAACATCACCACTCCAGTACATTATTTACAGCAGTATCTCTGCTAATTCAGAGACTAGGTGCACAGTGAACTTTGCGAGTCGTCACATACAAACGCGTCTAACATTAGCTCCCTCTTACACTGATTCCATTTGGCCTTATCATCAGCCACTCCTTGTGCACCCTCATTCATTATTTTATTCATCAGCATGCAAAGAGAGAGAGGCCACCAGACTCGGAATCCCCGAACCTCAAATAGAGGGGGGAGGGAGAGAGGATGAACGCCACCAGCATGCCTGGGATGCCTCCCCTACCCTACCTCTGCACTAGTGGTGCTCTACAGTGTGTCACCTTGCCTGACTCTGTACTTGTGGTGCTCTATAGTGTGTCACCTTGCCTGACTCTGTACTTGTGGTGCTCTACAGTGTGTCACCTTGCCTGACTCTGTACTTGTGGTGCTCTACAGTGTGTCACCTTGCCTGACTCTGTACTTGTGGTGCTCTACAGTGTGTCACCTTGCCTGACTCTGTACTTGTGGTGCTCGACAGTGTGTCACCTTGCCTGACTGTACTTGTGGTGCTCTACAGTGTGTCACCTTGCCTGACTCTGTACTTGTGGTGCTCTACAGTGTGTCACCTTGCCTGACTCTGTACTTGTGGTGCTCTACAGTGTGTCACCTTGCCTGACTCTGTACTTGTGGTGCTCTACAGTGTGTCACCTTGCCTGACTCTGTACTTGTGGTGCTCTACAGTGTGTCACCTTGCCTGACTGTACTTGTGGTGCCGTACAGTGTGTCACCTTGCCTGACTCTGCACTTGTGGTGCTCTACAGTGTGTCACCTTGCCTGACTCTGTACTTGTGGTGCTCTACAGTGTGTCACCTTGCCTGACTGTACTTGTGGTGCCGTACAGTGTGTCACCTTGCCTGACTCTGTCCTTGTGGTGCTCTACAGTGTGTCACCTTGCCTGACTCTGTACTTGTGGTGCTCTACAGTGTGTCACCTTGCCTGACTCTGCACTTGTGGTGCTCTACAGTGTGTCACCTTGCCTGACTCTGTACTTGTGGTGCTCTACAGTGTGTCACCTTGCCTGACTCTGCACTTGTGGTGCTCTACAGTGTGTCACCTTGCCTGACTCTGTACTTGTGGTGCTCTACAGTGTGTCACCTTGCCTGACTCTGCACTTGTGGTGCTCTACAGTGTGTCACCTTGCCTGACTGTACTTGTGGTGCTCTACAGTGTGTCACCTTGCCTGACTCTGCACTTGTGGTGCTCTACAGTGTGTCACCTTGCCTGACTCTGTACTTGTGGTGCTCTACAGTGTGTCACCTTGCCTGACTCTGCACTTGTGGTGCTCTACAGTGTGTCACCTTGCCTGACTGTACTTGTGGTGCTCTACAGTGTGTCACCTTGCCTGACTCTGCACTTGTGGTGCTCTACAGTGTGTCACCTTGCCTGACTCTGTACTTGTGGTGCTCTACAGTCTGTCACCTTGCCTGACTCTGCACTAGTGGTGCTCTACAGTGTGTCACCTTGCCTGACTCTGTACTTGTGGTGCTCTACAGTGTGTCACCTTGCCTGACTCTGCACTTATGGTGCTCTACAGTGTGTCACCTTGCCTGACTATGTACTTGTGGTGCCGTACAGTGTGTCACCTTGCCTGACTCTGTACTTGTGGTACTCTACAGTGTGTCACCTTGCCTGACTCTGCACTTGTGGTGCCGTACAGTGTGTCACCTTGCCTGACTCTGTACTTGTGGTGCTCTACAGTGTGTCACCTTGCCTGACTGTACTTGTGGTGCTCTACAGTGTGTCACCTTGCCTGACTCTGTACTTGTGGTGCTCTACAGTGTGTCACCTTGCCTGACTCTGTACTTGTGGTGCTCTACAGTGTGTCACCTTGCCTGACTATGTACTTGTGGTGCCGTACAGTGTGTCACCTTGCCTGACTCTGTACTTGTGGTACTCTACAGTGTGTCACCTTGCCTGACTCTGCACTTGTGGTGCCGTACAGTGTGTCACCTTGCCTGACTCTGTACTTGTGGTGCTCTACAGTGTGTCACCTTGCCTGACTCTGTACTTGTGGTGCTCTACAGTGTGTCACCTTGCCTGACTCTGTACTTGTGGTGCTCTACAGTGTGTCACCTTGCCTGACTGTACTTGTGGTGTGTGTGTCACCTTGCCTGACTCTGTACTTGTGGTGCTCACAGTGTGTCACCTGCCTGACTCTCTGTACTTGTGGTGCTCTACAGTGTGTCACCTTGCCTGACTCTGTACTTGTGGTGCTCTACAGTGTGTCACCTTGCCTGACTCTGTACTTGTGGTGCTCTACAGTGTGTCACCTTGCCTGACTCTGTACTTGTGGTGCTCTACAGTGTGTCACCTTGCCTGACTCTGTACTTGTGGTGCTCTACAGTGTGTCACCTTGCCTGACTCTTGTGGTGCTCTACAGTGTGTCACCTTGCCTGACTCTGTACTTGTGGTGCTCTACAGTGTGTCACCTTGCCTGACTGTACTTGTGGTGCTCTACAGTGTGTCACCTTGCCTGACTCTGTACTTGTGGTACCATACAGTGTGTCACCTTGCCTGACTCTGCACTTGTGGTACCATACAGTGTGTCACCTTGCCTGACTCTGTACTTGTGGTGCTCTACAGTGTGTCACCGTGCCTGACTCTGTACTTGTGGTGCTCTACAGTGTGTCACCTTGCCTGACTGTACTTGTGGTGCTCTACAGTGTGTCACCTTGCCTGACTCTGTACTTGTGGTGCTCTACAGTGTGTCACCTTGCCTGACTCTGTACTTGTGGTGCTCTACAGTGTGTCACCTTGCCTGACTCTGTACTTGTGGTGCTCTACAGTGTGTCACCTTGCCTGACTCTGTACTTGTGGTGCCGTACAGTGTGTCACCTTGCCTGACTCTGTACTTGTGGTACCATACAGTGTGTCACCTTGCCTGACTCTGTACTTGTGGTGCTCTACAGTGTGTCACCTTGCCTGACTCTGTACTTGTGGTGCCGTACAGTGTGTCACCTTGCCTGACTCTGTACTTGTGGTGCTCTACAGTGTGTCACCTTGCCTGACTCTGCACTTGTGGTGCCGTACAGTGTGTCACCTTGCCTGACTCTGTACTTGTGGTGCCGTACAGTGTGTCACCTTGCCTGACTCTGCACTTGTGGTGCTCTACAGTGTGTCACCTTGCCTGACTCTGTACTTGTGGTGCTCGACAGTGTGTCACCTTGCCTGACTATGTACTTGTGGTGCCGTACAGTGTGTCACCTTGCCTGACTCTGTACTTGTGGTACTCTACAGTGTGTCACCTTGCCTGACTCTGCACTTGTGGTGCCGTACAGTGTGTCACCTTGCCTGACTCTGTACTTGTGGTGCTCTACAGTGTGTCACCTTGCCTGACTCTGTACTTGTGGTGCTCTACAGTGTGTCACCTTGCCTGACTCTGTACTTGTGGTGCTCTACAGTGTGTCACCTTGCCTGACTGTACTTGTGGTGCTCTACAGTGTGTCACCTTGCCTGACTCTGTACTTGTGGTGCTCTACAGTGTGTCACCTTGCCTGACTCTGTACTTGTGGTGCTCTACAGTGTGTCAGCTTGCCTGACTGTACTTGTGGTGCTCTACAGTGTGTCACCTTGCCTGACTCTGTACTTGTGGTACCATACAGTGTGTCACCTTGCCTGACTCTGCACTTGTGGTACCATACAGTGTCACCTTGCCTGACTCTGTACTTGTGGTACCATACAGTGTGTCACCTTGCCTGACTCTGTACTTGCAGGGATCTACAGTGTGTCACCTTGCCTGACTCTGTACTTGTGGTGCTCTACAGTGTGTCACCTTGCCTGACTCTGCACTTGTGGTACCATACAGTGTGTCACCTTGCCTGACTCTGTACTTGCAGGGATCTACAGTGTGTCACCTTGCCTGACTCTGTACTTGTGGTACCATACAGTGTGTCACCTTGCCTGACTCTTTACTTGTGGTACCATACAGTGTGTCACCTTGCCTGACTCTGCACTTGTGGTGCTCTACAGTGTGTCACCTTGCCTGACTCTGCACTTGTGGTACCATACAGTGTGTCACCTTGCCTGACTCTTTACTTGTGGTGCTCTACAGTGTGTCACCTTGCCTGACTCTGCACTTGTGGTACCATACAGTGTGTCACCTTGCCTGACTCTGTACTTGCAGGGATCTACAGTGTGTCACCTTGCCTGACTCTGTACTTGTGGTACCATACAGTGTGTCACCTTGCCTGACTCTGTACTTGTGGTCCCATACAGTGTGTCACCTTGCCTGACTCTGTACTTGCAGGGATCTACAGTGTGTCACCTTGCCTGACTCTGTACTTGTGGTACCATACAGTGTGTCACCTTGCCTGACTCTTTACTTGTGGTACCATACAGTGTGTCACCTTGCCTGACTCTGCACTTGTGGTGCTCTACAGTGTGTCACCTTGCCTGACTCTGCACTTGTGGTACCATACAGTGTGTCACCTTGCCTGACTCTTTACTTGTGGTGCTCTACAGTGTGTCACCTTGCCTGACTCTGCACTTGTGGTACCATACAGTGTGTCACCTTGCCTGACTCTGTACTTGCAGGGATCTACAGTGTGTCACCTTGCCTGACTCTGTACTTGTGGTACCATACAGTGTGTCACCTTGCCTGACTCTGTACTTGTGGTCCCATACAGTGTGTCACCTTGCCTGACTCTGTACTTGCAGGGATCTACAGTGTGTCACCTTGCCTGACTCTGTACTTGTGGTACCATACAGTGTGTCACCTTGCCTGACTCTTTACTTGTGGTACCATACAGTGTGTCACCTTGCCTAACTCTGCACTTGTGGTGCTCTACAGTGTGTCACCTTGCCTGACTCTGCACTTGTGGTACCATACAGTGTGTCACCTTGCCTGACTCTTTACTTGTGGTGCTCTACAGTGTGTCACCTTGCCTGACTCTGCACTTGTGGTACCATACAGTGTGTCACCTTGCCTGACTCTGTACTTGCAGGGATCTACAGTGTGTCACCTTGCCTGACTCTGTACTTGTGGTACCATACAGTGTGTCACCTTGCCTGACTCTGTACTTGTGGTACCATAGAGTGTGTCACCTTGCCTGACTCTGTACTTGCAGGGATCTACAGTGTGTCACCTTGTCTGACTCTGTACTTGTGGTGCTCTACAGTGTGTCACCTTGCCTGACTCTGTACTTGCAGGGATCTACAGTGTGTCTGCACCACAGTACAGAGGCATGCAGTGTGTGCCTCTGCACAACCCATTTCCAAGGACTACAGACTCTTACTTGGAGGAAAATCCAAAGCCAATACAAAAGAAAGTCAAATAAACATCTGTATGTACATACTGTACTTCATCTTCTCATCACATGGTGTTAAAATAGAGAACTACCAATAACATATTAAGAGATAATATTCAGGGACAAAAACAGCTTGACCACAACGGGAAGACATAAGCACCGGGTGTGTAAACACCGGCGCTGATTCCACCTCTTACATTGGCATCAGTGGAGCACGTCGCTAGCATCCCATCGTCAAAGGGAGAAAAGTCGAAGTCTGTTATCAAATCTGAATGGCCGTGAATGAGGGGTGTCGAGGAATCAACTCGACCTCTGTAGTCCAGCGGAACAAGGCCCAGACTTCCGCCACCTGGTGAGAGAGCACAAAAGCAAGGTGTTGACACTACTAGAAGTTGGGCAACAAAATCTTTAGGCCTAAAATTTAGGTTTGGTTTTTATCTGCTATCTCAAACAGTAGTCCAAAATGTGGATTTTTTTTAGACAGGGGCACAACAGTTCATATTCTGTACAGTCCACCTGCAGTGGCTATAGAAACTATTATTGTGGGAAGAACAGATTGCTGCTCTCTTGATACATCAAAATCAAAATTAAGACCACGGTAACAGTGATAATTTACAAAAGGTGGACAAGAATATGAAAGATGTAGGAATATTGAATTACTGTTTACCAATGTTCAGAATACAAGTGAAGTCAATGGAAATGAATACCATTATGTTAACATCAAATTAAGCTTAATAGTTTAACTAGCATAATTCTGAGCTTGGTAGATCAAGATGCTTCTGGTCTCTTGGGCAGAATCATGCTCAGCATAAGAGTGACCCTCCCACACAGGTCAAGCCTGGCCTCAGGTTAGGCATGGGGAGTAGAACAACTCCCAGAACCAAATCAAACAGGTCCCACAAGGAAGGCTGCCCCCAGGCCACGCTGAAGTGTAGGGTTCATATCACGTGCCAGACCCATATGGAAGGCGACCTCTAGGCCACACTCGAGTTAGTATCAGATTGACATTCCTTCCCCATTGATCCCACAGGGAAGGCTAAAGTAGTCTATCGCTCTAAATCATTGACAGGTAACCAACAGAACCTCCTCACCTCTGTTTTCAACATTGAAGGCGATGAATGCAGCGGAGGCCTTGATGTGGTTGCCACAGGACTGGGGCGCACCGACTTTAATGTCACTCACCCAGTCTTCCTTCTTCGGCAAGAGAGGTGCAGCATTCTTATACTTACTCACTTTAAACCTCCACGCCATGGTGCCAGCCTTAGGGAGAAAACGCAAACAGTAATGTTTTTAAAATTACAAATCAAGAAAATGCTTTAATGTCTTCATTAACTTATTATGCCTCCTAATTTTTCTGGGATTGTTAAACCTGACAACTCTCTGGTTTATTCTACATTTAGAGAGCATTATACAACATTTGCCCTTTAAAGGTTTTATTGAAAGGGGGGGGAGAACCTTTGACAAGTCGCCGGCTTCCTGTCCTCGTTAAGGCCACTTGGGTTAGTGGTCCTCAGGTAAATCAGGTAACATCTATTTCATTTTAAGTATTGTTCCCACCTGTGGAAGGTAGTTTATTGTGCACCCCATACTCATCCTGTGAGTGGTAGTTTATTGTGCACCCCATACTCATCCTGTGAGTGGTAGTTTATTGTGCACCCCATACTCATCCTGTGGGTGGTAGTTTATTGTGCACCCCATACTCATCCTGTGAGTAGTAGTTTATTGTGCACCCCATACTCATCCTGTGAGTGGTAGTTTATTGTGCACCCCATACTCATCCTGTGAGTGGTAGTTTATTGTGCACCCCATACTCATCCTGTGGGTGGTAGTTTATTGTGCACCCCATACTCATCCTGTGAGTAGTAGTTTATTGTGCACCCCATACTCATCCTGTGAGTGGTAGTTTATTGTGCACCCCATACTCATCCTATGAGTGGTAGTTTATTGTGCACCCCATACTCATCCTGTGGGTGGTAGTTTATTGTGCACCCCATACTCATCCTGTGAGTAGTAGTTTATTGTGCACCCCATACTCATCCTGTGAGTGGCAGTTTATTGTGCACCCAATACTCATCCTGTGGGTGGTAGTTTATTGTGCACCACATACTCATCCTGTGGGTGGTAGTTTATTGTGCACCACATACTCATCCTGAGTGGTAGTTTATTGTGCACCCCATACTCATCCTGTGGGTGGTAGTTTATTGTGCACCCCATACTCATCCTGTGGGTGGTAGTTTATTGTGCACCCCATACTCATCCTGTGAGTGGCAGTTTATTGTGCACCCCATACTCATCCTGTGAGTGGCAGTTTATTGTGCACCCAATACTCATCCTGTGGGTGGTAGTTTATTGTGCACCCCATACTCATCCTGAGTGGTAGTTTATTGTGCACCCCATACTCATCCTGAGTGGTAGTTTATTGTGCACCCCATACTCATCCTGAGTGGTAGTTTATTGTGCACCCCATACTCATCCTGAGTGGTAGTTTATTGTGCACCCCATACTCATCCTGAGTGGTAGTTTATTGTGCACCCCATACTCATCCTGTGGGTGGTAGTTTATTGTGCACCCCATACTCATCCCGAGTGGTAGTTTATTGTGCACCCCATACTCATCCTGAGTGGTAGTTTATTGTGCACCCCATACTCATCCCGAGTGGTAGTTTATTGTGCACCCCATACTCATCCTGTGGGTGGTAGTTTATTGTGCACCCCATACTCATCCCGAGTGGTAGTTTATTGTGCACCCCATACTCATCCTGTGGGTGGTAGTTTATTGTGCACCCCATACTCATCCTGTGAGTGGCAGTTTATTGTGCACCCAATACTCATCCTGTGGGTGGTAGTTTATTGTGCACCCCATACTCATCCTGAGTGGTAGTTTATTGTGCACCCCATACTCATCCTGTGAGTGGTAGTTTATTGTGCACCCCATACTCATCCTGTGGGTGGTAGTTTATTGTGCACCCAATACTCATCCTGTGGGTGGTAGTTTATTGTGCACCCCATATTCATCCTGAGTAGTTTATTGTGCACCCCATACTCATCCTGTGAGTGGTAGTTTATTGTGCACCCCATACTCATCCTGTGGGTGGTAGTTTATTGTGCACCCCATACTCATCCTGTGTAGTTTATTGTGCACCCCATACTCATCCTGTGAGTGGTAGTTTATTGTGCACCCCATACTCATCCTGTGAGTGGTAGTTTATTGTGCACCCCATACTCATCCTGAGTGGTAGTTTATTGTGCACCCCATACTCATCCTGAGTGGTAGTTTATTGTGCACCCCATACTCATCCTGAGTGGTAGTTTATTGTGCACCCCATACTCATCCTGTGGGTGGTAGTTTATTGTGCACCCCATACTCATCCCGAGTGGTAGTTTATTGTGCACCCCATACTCATCCTGAGTGGTAGTTTATTGTGCACCCCATACTCATCCCGAGTGGTAGTTTATTGTGCACCCCATACTCATCCTGTGGGTGGTAGTTTATTGTGCACCCCATACTCATCCCGAGTGGTAGTTTATTGTGCACCCCATACTCATCCTGTGGGTGGTAGTTTATTGTGCACCCCATACTCATCCTGTGAGTGGCAGTTTATTGTGCACCCAATACTCATCCTGTGGGTGGTAGTTTATTGTGCACCCCATACTCATCCTGAGTGGTAGTTTATTGTGCACCCCATACTCATCCTGTGAGTGGTAGTTTATTGTGCACCCCATACTCATCCTGTGGGTGGTAGTTTATTGTGCACCCAATACTCATCCTGTGGGTGGTAGTTTATTGTGCACCCCATATTCATCCTGAGTAGTTTATTGTGCACCCCATACTCATCCTGTGAGTGGTAGTTTATTGTGCACCCCATACTCATCCTGTGGGTGGTAGTTTATTGTGCACCCCATACTCATCCTGTGTAGTTTATTGTGCACCCCATACTCATCCTGTGAGTGGTAGTTTATTGTGCACCCCATACTCATCCTGTGAGTGGTAGTTTATTGTGCACCCCATACTCATCCTGTGAGTGGTAGTTTATTGTGCACCCCATACTCATCCTGTGAGTGGTAGTTTATTGTGCACCCCATACTCATCCTGTGGGTGGTAGTTTATTGTGCACCCCATACTCATCCTGTGGGTGGTAGTTTATTGTGCACCCCATACTCATCCTGTGAGTGGTAGTTTATTGTGCACCCCATACTCATCCTGTGGGTGGTAGTTTATTGTGCACCCCATACTCATCCTGTGAGTGGCAGTTTATTGTGCACCCCATACTCATCCTGTGGGTGGTAGTTTATTGTGCACCCCATATTCATCCTGAGTAGTTTATTGTGCACCCCATACTCATCCTGTGAGTGGTAGTTTATTGTGCACCCCATACTCATCCTGTGGGTGGTAGTTTATTGTGCACCCCATATTCATCCTGAGTAGTTTATTGTGCACCCCATACTCATCCTGTGAGTGGTAGTTTATTGTGCACCCCATACTCATCCTGTGGGTGGTAGTTTATTGTGCACCCCATACTCATCCTGTGAGTGGTAGTTTATTGTGCACCCCATACTCATCCTGTGAGTGGTAGTTTATTGTGCACCCCATACTCATCCTGTGAGTGGTAGTTTATTGTGCACCCCATACTCATCCTGTGAGTGGTAGTTTATTGTGCACCCAATACTCATCCTGTGTAGTTATTGTGCACCCCATACTCATCCTGTGAGTGGTAGTTTATTGTGCACCCCATACTCATCCTGTGAGTGGTAGTTTATTGTGCACCCCATACTCATCCTGTGAGTGGTAGTTTATTGTGCACCCCATACTCATCCTGTGAGTGGTAGTTTATTGTGCACCCAATACTCATCCTGTGAGAGGTAGTTTATTGTGCACCCCATACTCATCCTGCGAGTGGTAGTTTATTGTGCACCCTATACTCATCCTGTGAGAGGTAGTTTATTGTGCACCCCATACTCATCCTGTGAGAGGTAGTTAATTGTGCACCCCATACTCATCCTGTGGGTGGTAGTTTATTGTGCACCCCATACTCATCCTGTGGGTGGTAGTTTATTGTGCACCCCATACTCATCCTGTGTAGTTTATTGTGCACCCCATACTCATCCTGAGTGGTAGTTTATTGTGCACCCCATACTCATCCTGTGGGTGGTAGTTTATTGTGCACCCCATACTCATCCTGTGAGTGGTAGTTTATTGTGCACCCCATACTCATCCTGTGGGTGGTAGTTTATTGTGCACCCCATACTCATCCTGTGGGTGGTAGTTTATTGTGCACCCCATACTCATAAGGTGAGTAGTTTATTGTGCACCCCATACTCATCCTGTGAGTAGTACTTTATTGTGCACCCCATACTCATTCTGTGAGAGGTAGTTTATTGTGCACCCTATACTCATCCTGTGGGTGGTAGTTTATTGTGCACCCCATACTCATCCTGTGGGTGGTAGTTTATTGTGCACCCTATACTCATCCTGTGGGTGGTAGTTTATTGTGCACCCCATACTCATCCTGTGAGAGGTAGTTTATTGTGCACCCCATACTCATCCTGTGAGTGGTAGTTTATTGTGCACCCCATACTCATCCTGTGGGTGATAGTTTATTGTGCACCCCATACTCATCCTGTGAGTGGTAGTTTATTGTGCACCCCATACTTGTCCTGAGTGGTAGTTTATTGTGCACCCCATACTCATCCTGTGAGTAGTTTATTGTGCACCCCATACTCATCCTGTGAGTAGTTTATTGTGCACCCCATACTCATCCTGTGAGTAGTTTATTGTGCACCTCATACTCATCCTGTGAGAGGTAGTTTATTGTGCACCCCATACTCATCCTGTGAGTAGTAGTTTATTGTGCACCCCATACTCATCCTGTGAGTAGTAGTTTATTGTGCACCCCATACTCATCCTGTGAGTGGTAGTTTATTGTGCACCCCATACTCATCCTGTGAGAGGTAGTTTATTGTGCACCCCATACTCATCCTGTGAGTGGTAGTTTATTGTGCACCCCATACTCATCCTGTGAGAGGTAGTTTATTGTGCACCCCATACTCATCCTGTGTAGTTTATTGTGCACCCCATACTCATCCTGTGAGTGGCAGTTTATTGTGCACCCCATACTCATCCTGTAAGAGGTAGTTTATTGTGCTCCCCATACTCATCCTGTGAGTGGTAGTTTATTGTGCACCCCATACTCATCCTGTGGGTGGTAGTTTATTGTGCACCCCATACTCATCCTGTGAGTGGTAGTTTATTGTGCACCCCATACTCATCCTGTGGGTGGTCGTTTATTGTGCACCCCATACTCATCCTGTGAGTGGTAGTTTATTGTGCACCCCATACTCATCCTGTGAGTGGTAGTTTATTGTGCACCCCATACTCATCCAGTGAGAGGTAGTTTATTGTGCACCCCATACTCATCCTGCGAGTGGTAGTTTATTGTGCACCCTATACTCATCCTGTGGGTGGTAGTTAATTGTGCACCCCATACTCATCCTGTGGGTGGTAGTTTATTGTGCACCCCATACTCATCCTGTGGGTGGTAGTTTATTGTGCACCCCATACTCATCCTGTGTAGTTTATTGTGCACCCCATACTCATCCTGTGGGTGGTAGTTTATTGTGCACCCCATACTCATCCTGTGAGTGGTAGTTTATTGTGCACCCCATACTCATCCTGTGGGTGGTAGTTTATTGTGCACCCCATACTCATCCTGTGGGTGGTAGTTTATTGTGCACCCCATACTCATAAGGTGAGTAGTTTATTGTGCACCCCATACTCATCCTGTGTGTAGTACTTTATTGTGCACCCCATACTCATTCTGTGAGAGGTAGTTTATTGTGCACCCCATACTCATTCTGTGAAAGGTAGTTTATTGTGCACCCTATACTCATCCTGTGGGTGGTAGTTTATTGTGCACCCCATACTCGTCCTGCGAGTGGTAGTTTATTGTGCACCCCATACTCATCCTGTGGGTGATAGTTTATTGTGCACCCCATACTCATCCTGTGGGTGGTAGTTTATTGTGCACCCCATACTCATCCTGTGGGTGATAGTTTATTGTGCACCCCATACTCATCCTGTGAGTGGTAGTTTATTGTGCACCCCATACTCATCCTGTGTGTAGTACTTTATTGTGCACCCCATACTCATTCTGTGAGAGGTAGTTTATTGTGCACCCCATACTCATTCTGTGAAAGGTAGTTTATTGTGCACCCTATACTCATCCTGTGGGTGGTAGTTTATTGTGCACCCCATACTCGTCCTGCGAGTGGTAGTTTATTGTGCACCCTATACTCATCCTGTGGGTGGTAGTTTATTGTGCACCCCATACTCATCCTGTGAGAGGTAGTTTATTGTGCACCCCATACTCATCCTGTGAGTGGTAGTTTATTGTGCACCCCATACTCATCCTGTGGGTGATAGTTTATTGTGCACCCCATACTCATCCTGTGAGTGGTAGTTTATTGTGCACCCCATACTTGTCCTGAGTGGTAGTTTATTGTGCACCCCATACTCATCCTGTGAGTAGTTTATTGTGCACCCCATACTCATCTTGCGAGTAGTTTATTGTGCACCCCATACTCATCCTGTGAGTAGTTTATTGTGCACCTCATACTCATCCTGTGAGTAGTTTATTGTGCACCTCATACTCATCCTGTGAGAGGTAGTTTATTATGCACCCCATACTCATCCTGTGAGTAGTAGTTTATTGTGCACCCCATACTCATCCTGTGAGTAGTAGTTTATTGTGCACCCCATACTCATCCTGTGAGTGGTAGTTTATTGTGCACCCCATACTCATCCTGTGAGAGGTAGTTTATTGTGCACCCCATACTCATCCTGTGAGTGGTAGTTTATTGTGCACCCCATACTCATCCTGTGAGAGGTAGTTTATTGTGCACCCCATACTCATCCTGTGTAGTTTATTGTGCACCCCATACTCATCCTGTGAGTGGCAGTATATTGTGCACTCCATACTCATCCTGTAAGAGGTAGTTTATTGTGCTCCCCATACTCATCCTGTGAGTGGTAGTTTATTGTGCACCCCATACTCATCCTGTGGGTGGTAGTTTATTGTGCACCCCATACTCATCCTGTGAGTGATAGTTTATTGTGCACCCCATACTCATCCTGTGGGTGGTCGTTTATTGTGCACCCCATACTCATCCTGTGAGTGGTAGTTTATTGTGCACCCCATACTCATCCTGTGAGTGGTAGTTTATTGTGCACCCCATACTCATCCTGTGGGTGGTAGTTTATTGTGCACCCCATACTCATCCTGTGAGTGGTAGTTTATTGTGCACCCCATACTCATCCTGCGAGTGGTAGTTTATTGTGCACCCTATACTCATCCTGTGGGTGGTAGTTTATTGTGCACCCCATACTCATCCTGTGGGTGGTAGTTTATTGTGCAACCCACACTCATCCTGTGGGTGGTCGTTTATTGTGCACCCCATACTCATCCTGTGGGTGGTCGTTTATTGTGCACCCCATACTCATCCTGTGGGTGGTAGTTTATTGTGCACCCCATACTCATCCTGTGGGTGGTAGTTTATTGTGCACCCCATACTCATCCTGTGGGTGGTAGTTTATTGTGCACCCCATACTCATCCTGTGAGTAGTACTTTATTGTGCACCCCATACTCATTCTGTGAGAGGTAGTTTATTGTGCACCCTATACTCATCCTGTGGGTGGTAGTTTATTGTGCACCCCATACTCATCCTGTGGGTGGTAGTTTATTGTGCACCCCATACTTGCCCTGAGTGGTAGTTTATTGTGCACCCCATACTCATCATGTGAGTTTATTGTGCACCCCATACTCATCCTGTGAGTAGTTTATTGTGCACCACATACTCATCCTGTGAGTAGTTTATTGTGCACCTCATACTCATCCTGTGAGAGGTAGTTTATTGTGCACCCCATACTCATCCTGTGAGTAGTTTATTGTGCACCCCATACTCATCCTGTGAGTAGTAGTTTATTGTGCACCCCATACTCATCCTATGAGTGGTAGTTTATTGTGCACCCCATACTCATCCTGTGAGTGGTAGTTTATTGTGCACCCCATACTCATCCAGTGTAGGCAAAAAGTTAGGCGAGGTTAAAATAGAGCAAGTAATTATCAAAAGAAAGTACCCAGTCAGGGAGACTATGTAGCTTAAGATATGTTAGGATAGGTTGGGTTAGACTACATTGGATTGAGTTTGGCTGGGTTTGTATAATTAGAGTAGTAATGAATTAATAGTGGTGACATTTCACAGTTCTTAGGCCCTACTCCCTGTGAGTAGTAGTTCATCTCATAATGGTTTCTAAAGTTTCCCCTTAACTCTCTACCTAAATCTATTAGTCGGGTGGATAAGATACGTGATAGGATCTTCCGACAGCACGACCATGAATCCAACTTCGGCATCCACTAGTATGCTGAACACCCAAGTGGACACAGTGTGAAGCCAAAATTAGTGTTTACAAACCCTCACTTGAACCACAATCAGTGTGGTTGAGACGTCTGTACCAAGACTGTGAGTGTTCAGTGATATGGTTTAGAGGACATTAGAAATCAGTGCTCTTATCAACTGATTGATAGCTAACGCAGCAGATAACTTCCACAAAAAAACAGCCGTTTGCATTTGGGACGTGGAATAATGAAGGGATTGCCGTCACCTGCAGGTGACTGGCTACCACCTCGTAGGTGACTGGCAATCACCCCATAAGTGACTGGCTGTCACCCCGTAGGCGACTGGCAGCGGTCACCCCATAAGTGACTGGCAGCGGTCACCCCATAAGTGACTGGCAGCGGTCACCCCATAAGTGACTGGCAGTCACCCCGTAGGCGACTGGCAGCGGTCACCCCATAAGTGACTGGCAGTCACCCCGTAGGTGACTGGCGGTCTCGCCATAGGTGACTGGCTGCCACCTACAGATGACCAGCTAACATCTGTGGATGACAGCTTTGGATTAGGAACCAGAACTCCAGTCTGGGACCAAACCCCAATCCAGAACTATACCCCGGTCCAGAACCAGTCCCCAGTCCAGAACTAGACCCCAGTCTAGAGCCAGACCCCAGTCTAAAGCCAGACCCCAATTCAGAACAATACCCCAGTCCAGAACCAAACCCCAGTCCAGAACTAGACCCCAGTCTAGAGCCAGACCCCAATCCAGAACTATACCCCAGTCCAGAACCAGACCCCAGTCCAGAACTAGACCCCAGTCTAGAGCCAGACCCCAGTCTAGAGCCAGACCCCAGTCTAGAGCCAGACCCCAGTCCAGAACTATACCCCAGTCCAGAACTAGACCCCAGTCTAGAGCCAGACCCCAGTCCAGAACCAGACCCCATTCTAGAGCCAGAACCTGCCCAGGAACCAGACCTCAATCTGGGACTAAAATCCAAAACCAGATCCCAGTCTGTGATCAAAACCCAGAAGCAGGTTGTAGAACATAGAACCAGACTCTAGATCAAGACCAGACCCCAGGCCAAGACTAGACCCCAGTTTGGAACAAGGACCCAATCCAGAACCAGACCCCAATTAGGAACCTGGCCTAATCTAGACTCCAGCTCAGAACCAGGCCCCAGTTTGAGGCCAGATTCTTGGCCAAGACTAGACCCCCAAGTCAAGACCAAACCTCAAATGCAGACCCCAGACCCCAGCCAGACCCCACTGTTCCCTTAGGGAGAGTCTGCCACATACAACCTCCCTCGACACATTTACCCCCGCCACGGGGAGCCACCCTGGTGGAAGCCCCGGGGGAAACCCTCCCCCGAGGCGTCTCTCGGGCCGCCCCCGAGGGCAACACCCAACGCCCAGCCCAAAATATGAAAAAATAACGAAATAAAAAATATTTAGGGTGGCCACGATGCCAAGCTAGGCGGGTCGCCCCTCCCTACTCGCCCGCCCACCTGTCAAACCCCCGCCCATTTCAACCCCATTTCCCGCCGCCCACGCCCGTCTCCAGGCCACAAAACCCAGCCGACGGGCTTCTCCCGTCCTTGCCCGCGGGTTTCCGCCCCTGGGGAGGGGGATCCGGCGGGTATCTACGCGAGGAAGCCTGAAAATGTAAGAGTGTCCGTCACCTGTCAGTCCCGTAGCGTCCCACGGCTGGCGTCGTCTGTTTTGTTGACACCCGCTCCTCCCCCCCCTCCACCCAGGGGGGTCTTCTTCTCCCAGGACGGTCGACCACCATACTCACTAATAACTAATATTTCTGCTCCAAAAGTATTCATATACCTTCTTTAATATAATTGTTCAACTTCTAGACTTGTAATTAATTGTTTCTTCACAAAACGATATATTTTTTCTCCGCCAAATGAGATAATTAGCTCCAGCTATATGATTATTTTCATGTTAAATTCCTGTTTACATAAAATATCGAACTCAATTATGGTTGCGTGAATTATTTTCGTGTAAATGAGTTCAGTTTTACTAGGGCATTAGGTCAGCGGTTCGGAGAGTTTTGGAAGCATTCAGACGGCCAAGCTTGAGGTCATTCCTTCTGGGAAAAATATTTCCACGGCCCCCAGCCGATGCCTCGGGTATACATCTTAACCATTAATTTAGTCTTCCCTATTGACTAATTCCATTACGTATTTCACTCTATTCGCATTTGTTATATTATAAATCGAATATTCTTCATCAACTTACATTGCCTAAATATTAAAAGCGACTTAACTTAAAATGTAAAAATGTATAGGAAGTTTATTATCGTGCACGCACTATAAAACACTATTATCACTCGGCGATTATATCTCCAGATTATACACTCTAACCAACATATGTGCACTCTCATATACAACTTTATCTATGCTGTATAAAATGTCTGTCTGTCCAAAGCTGTAGGTCAGAAGCTACGAGCTAGTCTCAACCAAATTTGCAGAGGGAATTAATGGCCTTTGTAAGCGTATATGTATTTCAGATTTAGAGTTCCTTATACAGTATAATAATAATAATAATATAATTCATTGTGTCGGGGGACAGGAAGGCAGAGTGTATTCATACCTGGGGGCCCTGGTGGCTGAGTAGACAGCGCTCGGGATTCGTAGTCTAAGGTCCGGGGATCAATCCCCGGCCATGGCGGAAACAATTGGGCATAGTTTCTTTCACCCTGATGGTCCTGTTCACGTAGCAGTAAATAGATACCTGAGAGTCAGCTGTCACGGGCTGCTTCCTGGGTGTGTGTGTGGGTGTGTGTGTGTGTGTGTGTATGTGTATTCACCTAGTTGTGCTTGCGGGGGTTGAGCTCTGCTCTTTCGGCCCGCCTCTCATTGTCAACTGTTACTAACTTAATTTTCACACACACACACACACACACACACACACTGGGGAGCTGGTGACCGAGCGGACAGCACGCTGGACACGTGATCCTGTGGTCCCGGGTTCAATTCCGGGCGCCAGCGAGAAACGATGGCCAGAGTTTCTTTCACCTTATGCCCCTGTTTCCTAGCAGTAAATAGATACCTGGGAGTTAGTCAGCTGTCACTGGCTGCTTCCTGGGGTGTGCGCGCGTGGTGTGGGGGGGGGGGAGGGGGGAACAGTTGAGAGGCGGGCCGAAAGAGCAGAGCTCGACCCCCTGCAAGCACAGCTAGGTGAATACACATCCCCCTCAAACCCCTGTCAATTATACCACAGGAGGGCGCGACCTCACCCCGAGCAACCCCGTGCACTCCCTACCCCTCCACCCCCCCCCCCCCCCAGGAATTCTCCCTGCCCCAAGCAGGCCTGGGCACGACCTAAGCCCTCCATCCCTCACCCCATCTCCCCCTGAACCCCTGGCCAGTGGAATATGACTCAATGACCTCCATTTTTACTTTTTCCCCAAAGCCGGTCATCGAGTCTTGTGATTTTCGTTACCCCGCTGATGCGTCGCTCCCATCCTCAACTGCCAGTCATCGCGTCGTGATTTTTTTCCGTGAAACTACCCAGATGTAATAGGACTCACGGAAACAAAATTGTCAGGCGTCATAACAGATGCTGTGTTTCTAAAAAACTACCATATAGTGAGGAAAGAGGGAAGGGAGAGGAGGTGGAGGAGTGGCCCTGCTGATAAGGAAGGACTGGAGTACGTTTAGATGCAATGGAAATTCTGGCCTATCACCGTGTTACGGCCACTGTGGGTTGCAACCGGGTTCTTTGATGGTAGAACTAAAATGATAGTATCCGACCCCAAGTCGGTAGTACGCTTTCAAGAAAGTGGCTATGTAGTGCACAAAAAAGGAGGGGATGAACAAAACACTGTTCCTTTCGTCAATGTATTAAATATCTTTCCATCACCGTTAAGTATATGTATGTAAACCGTCACCATAAATAATATATAAAGAACAGATAGGCTATTTCTACACTTCTGTACAATCCTTTCACTCAGGATATCAAACGTGTTCACGCGCAGAGTTCATCACTCCCCAGTACTTCTTCACTGTCCAGTAGCGTATCCAACCTTACTGGGAAGAACACCGGGTAGTTCACCTGTCAGTGGGCCAGCCCACTGACAGTGTCATGAGGTGCCTGTACCCCCACGACCACTCTCCAGCTACTCGCTGGCAGAGTACCCCAGCCACACGCTGAGCGGGGTCACAATACAGGGGTAGCGATCCCCTGGCAGCAGTCTCTAGCGACCAGCTAGCAGCACTACTCAACAGGCACCTCCCTGTCGTCAGTCTCTCCCCTAAGCCAGTCCCAAAGGTACGCCGATCTTGTCAACACTAAAGCACTTGCAGCTACCACACTGCTTCATCGGCGGCAGCTGACTTGGTCGTTTCCAGGACCATGTAGGGAGACTGTGGCCTGCCCAAGATGAACTGCTGTCTCCAGTACCGCTGCCCCCAGACGTCACCTCTGTGGACACAAAAACGTCATCAATGACCTTGCCGGTACTGGTGAACTAGGAAATACCACTAACCCCACTGGGGAGTTGACATTGTGCTCCGTAGCACACACTAGGTGGCGCTGGTCCTGAGGCGTCACCTCACCAGAGGTCACTCACAACGACCCCTCTGGCTGACCAAGGCAGGAATCTTGAGCCATTTGCAAGTTTTAGATAGCCACCACCAGATGGCATTGTCCATATTACGTACGATTCCCGGGCAGTTCGGGTGCGGACCCGTAGATGGCGCTGGAACTGCCACTCTACCCTCTGACAAGGGTGACGAGTCCGTAACAGATGGGTTCAGAGATTACATAACAGGAACTATAACAACGGGTGGGCCTAAGATAATAGTTGCGGTCATTTACAACCCTCCCCTAATTTTTTTTTTTTGAGATATATAGAAGAGTTGTTACATTCTTGTACAGCCACTAGTACGCGAAGCGTTTCGGGCAAGTCCTTAATCCTATGGTCCCTGGAATACGATCCCCTGCCGCGAAGAATCGTTTTTTCATCCAAGTACACAATTTTACTGTTGTGTTAAACAGAGGCTACAGTTAAGGAATTGCGCCCAGTAAATCCTCCCCGGCCAGGATACGAACCCATGACATAGCGCTCGCGGAACGCCAGGCGAGTGTCTTACCACTACACCACGGAGACGAAATGACAGAAGACCTAGACAGGAGTTTGATAGGAACAACATGGCAACCATTAATATAATAGAGAGAGCAGCTTCAGTTGCCTGCAGGAATGGCTCAAGACTCTTAATCATGGGTGATTTCAACCATGGAAAGATAGACTGGGAGAATGGGGACCCACATGGTGGTGCAGATACGTGGCGAGCTAAACTCTTGGAAGTGGCAACAAGGAACTTACTGAGTCAACATGTCAAGGGACCCACAAGAATGAGAGGAAATGACGAACCAGCAAGACTCGACCTGATATTCACATTGAATGAATCAGAAATAAGGGAAGTCAAATTTGAAGCCCCAGTAGGAATGAGTGACAACAGTGTACTGATATTTGAGTACTTGGTGGAGGTAGGGATAACCTATCCAAGGATGGGATCGGAAGGGAAAAGACTAAATTACCGAAGAGGAAAATATGATGAGATGAGGAACTCCCTCAGGGGAATACCATGGGAAACAGAACTCAGAGAGAAGACTGTACAGGATCTCACAAAATCTTACTGAAGCGACCATACTAGTCATAAATACTCACACTCCGCCTAAGTAAAACAGAAACAATCAACACTTAGTGAGCCAGCCAAAGACTTAAGGTCCGCGCAGGAATTTCCCTGAACAAAAAGATCTGCCTGAAACGCTCTGCGTGCTAGTGGCTTTACAAGAATGTAAAGCGTTAAGTGTCTCTACTTTCATGAACCCAATGTACCTTCTTGTATATAAATAAATAAATAAATCTGTGATTGTACTGTTATAAGTGACTTCAGACCTAATGGTATGAGGTACTTTGAGCTCTATAATTACTTCATATACTCAGGAATATTGGTAGTTATTCTTGTGTTGTACCCACATTGTACTGGTGGAGGCTAATTGATCAGCTTTACATTTTATGTTCTCACCATTGTTGATTTGTTCTTGTAATGAGGCTGGTATTTTCTCCCCTGATTCCATGTATGACTAACCATCTGTGAGATGGGAATATTGGATGAATTTATAGCCAGCTGTTTAATCGGAGCTGTTTTTTTTTTATTATTAAGGCAGGTATTATCTCCCCCTAATTCCATGTATGACTAACTATCCTGTGAGATGGTAATAATAGTTGAACCTAGTCAAACCTAACGTTTAGGGAGCATAACCAAGCAAGTATTGCGTCAGCCAGAAAAATGATAGGATGGATTACGAGAACCTTCAAGTCCAGAGATCCCATCACAATGGTTGTACTCTTCAAGTCACTTGTGTTGTCCCGTCTTGAGTACTGCTCAGTACTCACTTCCCCCTTCAGAGCAGGAGAGATTGCTGAAATAGAGGGAATACAGAGAACATATACGGCACGCATAGAGAGATAAAACACCTAAATTATTGGGATCGACTCAAAGTTCTCCAAATGTACTCACTAGAAAGGAGACGAGAGAGATACCAAATAATATACACATGGAAAATACTGGAAGGTCAGGTCCCAAATCTACACAGTAAAATAACAACGTACTGAAGGGAACGACATGGAAGAAAATGCAGAATAGAACCAGTGAAGAGCAGAGGTGCCATAGGCACAATCAGAGAACATTGTATGAACATCAGAGGTCCGCGGTTGTTCAACGTCCTATCAGCGAGCATCAGA